GTTCAGTCAACCTTCACATCTCAGGCAATACAAATTCAAGGCCAGCCTGACCTGCATGAGAACCCATTAGCTCCTTCCCCTAACAAATGCTGCCTAAATAGAATACAAACAAGAACTATAAAGAAATATTAAAAAATCATACCTTATTCTATAGACACCTTTCATTTTTGTTTCATGTTGAAGACATTGTCTCATGTAGTTCTAGACTGGCCTCAGACTTGATTCTCCCACCTCCATCTGAGGAGTGCTGGGATTATAGGCAATCCCAGTAATGTCAGGCTCTGTCCACAAGGACACCTTGATTTTATTCTCTGACCTCCCATTTCCTAGGAGTATAGACTGACTAAAAACTAAAAATAATACTGCTAGTTTTACCTTTAGAAATCTATCTGGAATGTTACTTCTTTCATGTGAAAGGCTGTCATTCTGGTCTAAGTCATTACCTCACATGAGTGCCCCGCCCCTTAAATCTGCTTTATTGGTTTCTCTTGTGAACCCACAAAAATCACAAATGAGCTGGTTCTTCCTTGAAAATCTGCCTAGGATCTGACCCCATTCTCACTCAACTCATGGCCTAGTGGTCATTCTACATTTCTTTCAAAAGAAACTGTGTGTGTTAAATTTTGCAGGTGGGGATTGAAGCAGGGCCTTGCACAGGCTGAGAGCATGTTCTCCCACTGACCTACCCATACACACAGCCCCAACACTTCAATCCACAGATCTTCCCACAGGCGCCCTGGTAGTATTTTCCCTAAGTCAAGCACATCTAACTACTTTCTAGTTTCTGTGACATTAAGTCAGATTCCCTCTGCAGGGCTCTAGACCCAGATGTCTGCCTTCTCTTTTATGTGCACTTTGTCCACATCCATGCATGTGCACCACAAACGTGCCTGCTGCACGAGGAGGCTAGAAAAGGTTGATGGATCACCCTAACTGGAGCTGGAGATAGCTGTGAGCTGCCATGTGGGTGTTGGGAACTGAGTCTCACCACTATGGAAGGGATACCAATGCTCTTAAGTGCCTAGCCATCTCTTATGCCCTGAGATATTAGTTTCATATTAAGGGGTACCCTGATGAATCAAGTTCATTAATATTCTGACATGTGTATATATACAAAGCATACACATATACATAGCATTTAACAATGTAACTTCATAAACTTTGTTCTCACTGAGTTCCAGGAAGGCACAGTAATCTTATTTTATACATAGCCCTATTCTTGGTACCTAGATACCTGAAACAAAAACACCCGACGAATGAACAATTCATCATGACCACTTCCAAAGTCATCAACACCAAAATACTCGTCAGGCACTAGGATTATCTTGTCTTTCTTTCATATTCAGCCTTACATAAAATCAGAACAACTCCTCCTTCAGAAAGCTTTTCTAGATAATCCTCAGTGGGCCAAACATGGCAACTTCCCTTCTCTCAATATACACATTGGTCTCAAAGGAATTGTTTAACTTTGTTTACACACACACACACACACACACACACACACACAGAGAGAGAGAGAGAGAGAGAGAGAGAGAGAGAGAGAGAGAGAGAGAGAGAGAGAGAAACAAGAATTTTTTAAAAATTGTATTTTTACCTGCCTGTAAGTCTGCACTGTATACGTATAGAGCTCACAGAGGCCAGCACAGAGTGCTGGAACCGGGGCTACAGATGACTGTGAACTGCCTGTGTTAACTCAGTTTGATAACATGACTGGGATTGTATTTTCTATTATGCCACCTCCCCGATAGATTGTGTCACTACCTACTGCCTTTCTTCTTGTTGCCACTCTATGAGAACACTGGGCTAACAGCTACTGAGCACTCGTTATATCTGAAATATATAAAACGTTTCTCTCGATTATACAATATTTGACTCAAGGGAACATTTTCTTTTAAGTCTTTAGAAGAAAAACAAGAAGGGCTGGAGAAATGGCTCAGAGGTTAAGAGTACTGAATGCTCATCCAGAGGTCTTGAGTAAAATTCCCAGCCACCACATGGTGGCTCATCTATATGAGATCTGGTGCCCTCTTTTGATATACAGGCAAACATAAAAGCATAACACTATATACATAAACAAACGAAACTGAAAAAAGAAAAGCAACATTGTATTTGTATATAATTCTGAATTTTTTTTATAAAGATCTATTGCTACTTAGATAAATAAAATCAATTATATTAGGGGAAAACCAAATAGCAATGTGCCCTAAAATAAAGACACCTGGTAGGTGCATTCATGACTGGCTGACCTACTCATTTCCCACAGTATCAGCTTCACTTATTTCACAAGAGAAATACAACACAAGTCTATACATCATAGAGACTTTAGTTTAATAAAGGAGGTAATAATGTTCTGTTTGTCCCTAAGCTATAAAACAGCAGATTAAAAAAAAAAAAAAAACCACACACGTTTGACACTCTGTCTGGCTCTGTGTTTGGCTCACATTAGAAGTTACTAACTTGTCTGCCTGTGCCTGTACGAGGTAAGAGAACTGACAGATCAGCATCACTGTTGGGTCTTTCAAAAAGAACAATCAAAGCAATCACTGTGTTTATGCTTCTACTTTTCTCAAATATTTTTAGAGGAGTAAACTAAAGTATCTATATGTAGTACATCGTTGTGGAATCATTCTTTATACTGTGTAAAGATATTTCACTGTGACTGGTTTAATAAAAAGCTAAATGGCCAGTAGCTAAGCAGGATTTTGGGGGCAGAGAAAAATGCTAAGGGTGGAATCCTGAGGAGTCACAGCCAGGTGAAGAGGAAGCAGGTTAGGGAATAGAGAGTAAAAGTAACTGAGACACATGAAAGAATGCAGATTAAAAGATATGGGTTAGCTGGGCAGTGGTGGTGCAATCGTTTAGTCCCAGCACTTGGGAGGCAGAGGCAGGAAAATCTCTGTGACTTCCAGGATAGCCAGGACCACTCCACAGAGAAATCCCTGGGGTGGGGGTGGGGGCACATGGGTTAATTTAAGTTATAAGAACTAGTTAGGGACAAGCCTAAGTTATCAGCCAAGCTCTCATAATTAATAAGAAGTCTCTGTGTGGTTATGTGTGTGTGGCTAGCTGGAGGGACAGAAAAGACTGCCTACAGTACATCAGCACAGTGGCTGACATAACAAGTTTACAAAGCTTACAAATATAAAATTTCAGATGTAGTCTTTGAATAATAAATTGTGTAAATGAAGGCACATGCGTAGTTACTGTACACTAAACATATGTATGCCAAACACATGCCATAATTCTGTCACTGAAGAAGCCTTTCACAGCCTGCAAAGATCACTGTTTAGATAATAGTCAGGGCTTCACTTGCCAACAATAGACAGGACACTAGTTTTTGGTTCTAAAAAACATCAGGGTTCAATTGTACACAAAATTAACAGGTCATATTTATGAAGTGACCCATTTTCATTATGTTTGTAAATCTTCATGTTGGTTCCTAAAGATCCCATTTCTTATTATATGAACCACCTGTACTGAAGCATACCTATCTATCTACCACTGATAATAGTTATGATCCACATAGCTGTATTGTCTCCATAAGCTCATATGTTTGAATGCTTCGTCATTATGGAGTACAACTACTTGGGAGGAACTAGGAGGCACTATGCCGTCTTGTTGAAGTAAGTGAATCACTAAGGATAGACTTTGAGATTTCAAAACCCAACACAGGTACAGTGGTTCTGGATCTGCTGCCTGTGGATCCAGATACAGAAATGTCAGCTACCTCTCCATCATCATGATTGCCTGAATGCTGCCATGGTCCCTAACTGTAAGCCAGCACCAATGAAATGCTTTCATTTGTAAGAGTTACTGTGGTCATGGTGTCCCCTCACAGCAACAGAACACTGACTAGGATAAGGATAGAAGAAGGTACCAGGAGCAGGGGCTGTTGCTCTGACAGGCCTGACCATACTGATGGTCAGTGAATGTGGATTTAGGATTAGGAAAGCAGCTGCATGTTTTAAATGTGGCTTAATAGATCGTTATAGCTGGAGCATAGAGGACAATGCTGAGGACTATCTGAAGAATAAGGAATCAATTTGAAAAGTTTCAGAGGAGAATAATTAGTAAGTGGCCTACAGCCTTTCCTGTGACAGTCTAGTAAAGAATACACCTGCTTTCTAAGCATGTCCAAAAAAAAAAAAAAAAAAAAAAAAGTCTAACTGAGGATAATTTGAAGAACTTTGAATTAATGGTGTTGGCAGAGGAGATTATGAAACAGAGCAAGCTGATAAAGAAAAATACAAAGTGTAGTCTAAAGAGAAAAGGAGGATCAGGAAATGTAATGGACTGAGTTCAGAGCTCAAAGTTTAAAGAAAGGTCTTAGGCTAAGTGGAATACAGGAAGTAGTAGTGTCAGGAAACAACCCTCACCCAATTAACTTCCAAGTTATGAAAAGGAATAAGGAAGGAAGAATGGAAGGAAGGAAGGAAGGAAGGAAGAAGGAAAGCTGATGAAAATGTATCAGAACAAGGGGCCAAATAAATTCTAGCCCCAGCAAAGAGCAGAACTTAGTAGCTTTTTGGCAAATGCTGCTTGAGCATCAACCTGGGCCTAGTTCCAACTACCAGTAAACCTCCAGAAGAGGTCAGGAGGTGTGATAAAATAAAAGGTTAAAAGTGTGGACATTGTAGATAAATGGGCCCTTAAGTTAAAACAAGATAAACTTCTATTTTCTAATGTTTTTGTTAAAGACAGGGAAAAAAATTAAGAAAATCTTGAAAAATGTAATGGATTTATAGGCTTTTATACTTCACTAGAAACAGATAGACAGGAAGTGTAAGAGTCAACTTACACTTCAAGTATGTAAACAGCTAAGATATACAAACAGTGAATTTTAAAATGAAGACAGGAATCCATTTACTTTATCATCATTGGTTGACAGGAAAATCTAGAGAGTAATGGAAGAGTCTACCATTACATTATCTAACTTCTATCTCTTAAAGGCAGTGAGGGTTCATTTTTAAGACACCAACATGCAAATCCCTTTTACTTACAGCCTCTTTCTCTCTGTCCATAATAGTTTCAAGCTCTTCAAAATGTCGAAGTTTGATCTCTAGTTTCTTCATCTGCGTCTCAACCAGGAGAGCTACCAGGGACTTGATCTTTCTCTCTTCCACAGCAGCCAGGTGCTAAGGGCAAAGACCACAAACATAAGAAAATGCTAAAGTTCAACAGTGGGCAAAGGCACTTATTTTTTTTAACCTGAAAAATCGAGATCTACCTCCAGAACATGCAAAATGGAGAGACTCAACTCCCATAAACTGTCATATGAATTCAAACCATGGAACCCCTTCTGAAACCCCTAAAATAGTAACTTATTATAAAGGATTAAAGGAAATTCTCCAAGGGCACATTCTTATCACAAAAGTCTAAAACAAGGAAGAGAGCTATATAGGACAGACTATCTGAAAAAGACTTCTTAGATTATTTTTTGGTTTTTCAGCGAGTGTCAATATGTAGCTCTGGCTGTCCTGGAACTCACTATGAAGACCAGGATGGTCTAGAACCCAGAGATCCACCTTTCTGTCTCCCAAGTTGGGATTAAAAGCATGTACCAACAGCAAGCACAAAGACTCTTGATGAGTTCACCACCAACTGCCCCTACCTAGCTACCTATTTATCTGAACCTATGTACGTGCTAAGGGAACAATGATGATGCTCTCAAATCTGTCCTTACCATCCTCTCCCTGCTATGAATTTCCTAAGGCTAATCAGCTTGTCTCTTTAGCACCAAAAATTCTTTCACAAAGCTTTCCCATGGTAAGCAAACGAACTGTGTGGGGCAAGGAAGACCAGAACAACACTTTGTCCTAAGATTAAAGACAGTATACAGAGCTATATATACAAACACAGGAGCAGAAAGGTGGAAGGTGGCCAAATGACTTCATAGCCAAGCACAGCAGTCAGTTGCATTCATGCTTCCTGACTACTAAATAGCACAAAGTAGAGCCACATTACCCATATGTGGCCAGGCTCTGACTATCTGCATTGATTATCCCCCAACAAACTCCAAAATGCATTTTGCAATCTCTAAATATTATGTGCATCTTCTTTGTAAGCAGGAATTTAATAAAATATAGAGAAGGCTATCTTTCTAATCTCTTCATTTCCAACAGAATCTAGGAGGCATTTAAGATAGGCTTCTGGGAACAATGGTGAAATGTGACACTATATCATAGCTTTAATTACCATGTTTTAAAGATTATTTCATTGGTTTTTCGAGAAAAGGTTTCTCTGTGTAGCCCTGCTTTTCTTGGAAATTGCTCTCTAGACCAGGCTGGCCTTGAACTCAGAAATCCTCCTGTCTTTGCCTCTTCAGTGTTGGGATTAAAGTCATGCACAACCATGTAAAGCAAGATTGTTTTATTTAAAAAGTTTACATGTGCATATAAATGTTTACTTCTGAGTCTATACACTTGTGTACAGTACCCCTGGTATCCAGAAGAGGGCATCAGAGCTGGAGTTCAAATAACTTGTGAGCCACACAAACTGGGTACTGAGAACTAAACCTGGGTCCTCTGTAAGAGCCATTTGTGTTATTAGCCATCTTTGTGGACTCAGCTGCCATTCCTTTACAGATAACAATGCACAAGGTGTAGAGATATTTAAGTGAAAGCTGAGGTTATAGTCCTATAGCAGTGCACTTAAATCTTTCATGACACACATCATGACAAAGCGTGGCTAAAAATATTTTAAAAATTTTAAGCTGATTCTCATTATGATGAGTACTACACTATGTGATTTATATATATTTTTTTTAAATATGTAACCCATATTTCATTATTGAGTATCTTGTGACTGTAGGTGCCTGGGTACTGCAGCAGGCCGATAGAGGTCAGAGGGCAATTTTAAAAAGTTCTCTTTTTGAAATAGGACTGGACTCAGGTACCCAGGCCTCCAAAAACTTTTTGTGTATGGATTCATCTTAATGGCTGAGATTTATGTAGGAAATTAGAAACATCCTATGTATTATTAAATACACAATGTTAAAACATGTTCCTTCTTATGCAAGCTGAAAGGACATCAAGTATGAAAAAAGTTTAAAAAGCTTAAATAAAAAAAAAAAAAATCAGTATCATTGGAAATTTAAGAACAAAACCCAGAAAAATCTGTGTACCACAGAGGCAAGAAATAAATTAGAACAGGGTGAAGCAAATTAAAAAATGATTTCCTTGTTCTTTGTGTTGGTGACCTCATTGTTTAGCTCATGTTTGGGCAGTCATGTTGGTGAAAATAGATTCTGATGTATGAACATGTTACATTTAGGAATATATAAGCACATACATATGTGCATGCAGTAAAAATAAATAAAAGAGGCCATGAATTTGGAAGAGCAAGTAGGGCCATCTCAGAGGGTCTGGAGAGAGGAAACAGAGGCATGTAATTATACTCTTCCTCCCAAAAAACTTTTGCCAGGCAGTGGTGGCTCATTATCTTTAAACACAGCACTCAGAAGGAAGGCAAAGGCAGGTGATCTACAGAGTGAGAAACAGGACAGAGAAACGGTGTCCCCAAAAACAAAAACCAAATCAAAACAAAACAAAAAACTTATTTTGGATTGTGTCAAATTTCTCAAAACTAAACCAGTACACAGTATGCGTTTAAAACTCGAGATAAAATGAAATTCAAATTAGAGCCATGTACAGCAGCTAGTCAATGGAGAGTACTGAATATATATTTCTCAAATCATGACCTGAAAAGCATTCCTTCCTATACATGCTAATGAAAATGAAGAACATGCTCTAGCAGATTCAGGGAAAATCTTTAAAACAAAACAAACAACAACAACAAAAACCACCAATGCTGATACCCAACGTGTGCATTTATGGCAGACCTAGTAACAACAAAGGAGACACACAGGTTATCAGAGGAAGATAACTGCTTTGTAGAGCTGCCTCTACAAAGCCTGATGAGTAGACTGGAGACACGCCACGGTGGAACCCACAAGCACAACCACTTCACTGTCTGGGGTTTGAGGCAGGGATTCCAAAGGGTAGAAGTGACTTCTGTTGACTCATACAAGGATGAAAATAAACAGGGCTAACTGCAGAGAAATTGGGTCTAATAGGAAAACTTTTTCTTTGGTCGCTTATGCAGTGGTGCTAAACAGAGTTATGATGACATCCAAGACTCAACACATAAAGTTTAAGTACACCTGGTGGAGTATTTATGATGTATGTCAATATAAGGGGTAAGAAAATGATTTTTTGTTGCTCAGTTTCCATGAACCCAAATCTATGTTTGCCATTTTAGTTTGTGTGGACAGAGTAGTTTAAGAAGAAATCTGAGGCAAATATATGACTTTGATAAAATGAGATTATTTCTGTTTGGAGAGAAATGACTTTCTGATTCCTGAGTGGAGGGGGGTGGGAGAATCTCCTCTCCCTCTAGGGTCTGAGGTTTCTAGTTTATTCCAAAGGTAATTTTCAGCTCCCCCTTCAAAGTCTCAACACCCAGACAGAAGAAAACCCAGTGGACCTAGCCATGTGTGAATACGCCTGCTAATGTGCCCACAATCCTACTGTAGGTTTGGCCCATCACAGCTTGTCAGTAGATAAAAAAAAATGGACATGTTTCTGAAGGGGCACTCCCAGGGGAAGGGCGGTGAAAAAGCATAAGCTAGATCCTGAGACTCTAATTACCTCTCCTTGTTTGAGGGTGACAAACAGTGAATAACAAAGCTGTTTATAGACACAGAAAAACAAAGTAAGAGAAACTTGGAATGCTTAGTGAAGCCTTGCTAATTACAGTAATTCAAATGAATTCCTTGCCCCCCGATTACCATGCAGCACAAAAATGATTATGTGCTGTGAGCTGTATCACATCCAGCTACATGGCACTAAACTCACACGTGCAACCTATACAGCAGGAACATTTGCACTGCTGTTGCATTAAAGGGAAATTTACTTTAATACTGAACGTTGGAAGCCTTGTTAATCCCAGCAGTTGGGAGGCAGAGCTGGTAGATCTTTGAGTGTGAAGTCAGCCTGGTCTAGTTCCAGGACTGCCACAGCTACACAGAGAAAAACCTGAGAACATGGATGAACAGACTAAACAGGCCTGGTAATAAATCACATAGCTTTTATAAAGAGAAGAAATCTAGTATTCATGGTTCCTAGTACATAATGGATAAAACATATAGTCCATCATTTTATTTCCTTATTATATTATTATATATACTATATGAAATAGACTAAAACACACGACAGTGGTTAAGAACAGGACAAGCTGGGCTAAAAAGATGGCTCAGAGGTTAGAAGTTTCCAGAGGTCCTGAGTACAATTACCAGCAACCACATGATGGGAAAATTACAGGAAGGAAGGGTGAGAGAATCATATTCCAGGATGGAAAAGGCTACAAATGTTGAGGTCTGTTTTTTTTTTTTTTAATATAGAACCACAAGATAAAAAATGATTCCAAAGAAAAGAAGATTAAAACTAAATGAAGATCCTAAGCACAATGAAGAATTAGAAATTTTAGTGGAGACAGGGAGGGTACTGAAGACAGTATTTCTTCAAGACAGGCATGGAGGCATATAGCTGTAATTTGAACAAGGTGTGGGAGGAAGGTCATGCATGAAGGCCAGCCTGGCCTACACAGTATTAACCTAGATCATAGATTAAATAAAGAAAAACAAAAAGCATTTAGTAATTCTTCTTTCATTAATCCACATTTTCATGAGAACTTAATTTTTAAAAGTTATTGCTATTATGGGATTACATTTATATGAAGGAAAAAAGTACTTTGAGATGGCTCACTGTAGATAATGAAGTGTGTCACAAAGCCTGATGGCTGAACCTTGACACCCAGAACCTATGTGAAGGAAGGAGAGAATCAATCTTAAAAATCTAAAGCCCTCAAGTCGTTCTGATCCTCAAAAGCATATGCTGTGACGTGTGCACCTGCACATACATGCATATACACCAATAACAGTAAATATTAAAAAAAAATCTAAAGCCAGGAGACAAGCTGGGGTTGTCCATTAGATGTAAGGGATACGTGTAAGCTCCTCGAGGGTAGTAATAAATTTCTGGCGCTATTGCTGCTTACATGGGTGGAATCATTTATGCAAAATTCAGAGCTAAAGACTTATCTGCCCTACTTATTTCAATGTAAGCACTTAAAATAAATAAATAAATAAATAAATAAATAAATAGAGATGACTCAGTTATCAAGAGAACTGGCTGCTCTTGCAGAGCACCCAGACTTGATTGCCAGTACCCACACAGGGCTCATCACTGTCTAAGTCCAGTTCCAGGGGACTAGACACCCTGTTCTAGTTTTCTCAAGGCTGTGCACACACATGATCCGGATACATGTGCTGGCAAAACAGCCATAAAAGAAAAAGGGAGAAAAAAACAATGTTGAGAGAGGCTCAGCAGTTAAGATTGTGCCCTACTCTTCCAGAGGGACCAAACTGAATTTCCAGCACCTGCATCAAGTAGCTCAGAACCACCTGTAATTCAGCTTCAATAGATTCAATGCCTCTGGTTTCCATGGAACAAACACATATGCAGCATACATGATAAATATACATACATACATACATACATACATATAAAACAACGGTTACAAAAACCAAAGACAAAATGCCATTTCAGTTGCATGATAGACAACAGGGCAGCAGAAATAAAACAGGTAAAGATTAGAAGAAGACTCTCTAAGAGGGGCTGATCCTTAGCAGATGAGTCAAAGAGCTATTACAGACTTGGGACCAGAGAAGTCAAAGAAAACCCAAGATCAAGGAATCAAAGATCAATGTAAGTTACAGGTTTGAAAACCGAGAAAGAATGGATGCTCTTGTAGCTTCTAATCCTATACTGATGAGATAATCCCCAATGCAATGTGTATAGTAAGAATTCAGACACTTCTGGGTGTGGGAGAGCACACCTTTAATCTCAGTATTCATAGGCAGGTGGGTCATCAAGGCTACATAGTGAACCCTGTCTCAAAACAACACAATAAAAACTCCACACACTTCAGAAGAAAGATGATGTTCAAATAATCCAAACTGCCAGAAGACAGAGGCGTGAAAAAAGAAAACTTTCCAATGGAGGGACAAAACTTGAAAAAAGGAAAGCAATCAACTGGCACCTTATTAGAATTTACTATTATGTAAGAGTATGCCTCAAAACTCACAAGAAAGCTAGGCATGGTGGCGTATGTTTTTAATCCCAGCACTGGAAAGTAGAGACAGGTTGGAGTAAAACGGGCGAGAGAAAAATTGTAATGACTTCTCCAGAAAGACGTCCTTCGGGGGATTTATATCTACCTAGGTCAGATGGGAAGAAATTCCTTTTGTGGTTTGACGTGTTGACCTATGAATCTTACAGCTTAAACACTCAAGAGTAAGTAGTTCACAGCAGCAGAGTGATTTTTGAAGGGCTCTGAAATACCATCTATATCTACATGTGAAGAAATACTCAAGATAGATGATTAGCAAAGTTCTAGAACCTGCAGGCCCTTGAAATCTGGTAAATTACAATGGAAGGAAACCACTAAGAAAGAATGGATGAATGTTTTTAAAATTTCATATATTCATCTTCAGAATGCTTTAAATGCTAAATTAAAACAAAGCGTGGGAAAATAACATTTTCTTGTCTTCTTAAATATGCATTGCAGTCGAGACCATGTTATAAATAGCAAAAACCACCCCCAGAAAAGCTGGCAAATTCAAGAAGAAAAAGCTATTTTAGGCTCTCTCCTTTTCAGTCTGTACTATCAGGATGAAGAATTATACAAAAAAGCAGATTTTGTCTTAATATCATAAATATTTCAATTTGGTAAAATTTATTGAAACAATGGTCCAAGTTCCATAAGCAAATTAAAAATAAAAAGATAAAGGAGACCCTTATGGGGAATACAAAATATGCCTTCAATTGGCAGCCTTCACAAAGCTAAAGGCAATAATGAATAGAAGGAAAACTGTCACCCCCTAGGACCGGATCTACTCTTAACACCCTCCTTCTGCCTGGGGATTTCTTAACCTAGAAATGCCATTCAAGCAAACAGTCATCTCCTGCCGGGAGGAAGGTTCTTTATACTAACTGTTCCCAATTAACTAAAAACAATATGACCATTCATGGCTTAAGAGAGCACGGGAAGGGGCTGTTGGGGCAAACCTTGGCTTTGGTAGCAGCTGAGGCGAGAGCAGCTGCTGCGGCTGTGGCGACATTTCCCTCAGAAATCTCGTGTTCCACTTTCTTCTTCCCGGTATCACTTTCTCTTTCTTTACATGTATCAGTGAGTTCCTTGTTCTCTTCATTCTCCTTTTCTTCTGAAAATATTCATAAAATTTTTATTATGAGTGTAGGCAAGTCTCAATAACCCATTAGCTTCTTTTGCCATGATTTAAACGACTTTTAAACAAGGAATGATGTTACATAGATGTTTCAATGCCCTTTTTTTGACTCTGCCCCTGTATTTAAGTACACATCTACTGGGCATATTTTGGAAGTGGTACACTCTATGTGTCATTTTCTTCAGCTCTTTTTATGGTTCCTTGGATATAAAGTAAGTTGAGGGGACCACAGCTTAGGACTCACACATTTGTTCATTTCATTAAGAAGCAGAATGATCTGGGGACAACCCTGAATCTGGAACGAAATCAGACATTGAGAATAGTACTCCACAAGTCTGGGACAGGCTGCTACTACAACAGACAGGAATAGGACAGACAGACAGACAAAGTGGCACTAAATCTGAAGAAATAGGACACAAAGAGAGACCAAAGAATTAAGGGAATTTAAATGTTGATGAACAATTTGATTAATCTCTATTGAGAACAGGCAAAAGCAGCTCCAGGCTGAGCACTGATATGTAACCGTTATGTTCAATAAAACTCAAGGGTCATGCATGTGGTACCATACATCCAATCTTAGCACCTTGGAGGCATGTAAAGTCAGCTTCACTAGATGTTGAGACTAAGGGACAACAAGCACAGAGACTGCCTAGACCATAGAGAGAATTTAAGACTATTCCAGCTTAAAACTAAAGAAACAACAATGCACCAAACCAGACTGTGGACATGGCCTGAGGTACAGCATGTATAGTGCCCTAGGCTCAATCACCCTGCCGACCAACCCAAACTAAATAAAGAAAGCCAACAGGGAGGCACAAGCCTGTAATACTAGTGCTTGGAAGGAAGGACCAGGAGTTCAAAACCAGCATAAGCTTTTTAGCCAGTTTAGCTTGGGCTATTTAAATAACTATCTCAAAACAGCAACCAACACAAGAGACTAGAACAAAGTGGTTAACAGCACTTACTGGCTGCTCTTTCCAGAGGACCATGGCTAAATCTCAGTACCTGAAGGTGAGCTCAGGTTTGCCAGAGCTCCAATAACGGGTAATGAACATGTGTTACAAAGACATGCACACAGGCAAAAACCCATGCACGTAATATAAACCGCAAAAACATAAAAATACATAGGAAACTGTGTTCCAGGCCAGTTCAGGCTATATAGTGAGACCATGTCAAACAAACAAACAAGCAAGCAAGCAAACCAAAACCCACTAACAATAAAAACAATTGTAATTTTCTTTAAAAAAAAAAAAAAAATAATAATAATACTTTAAAGAAGATCGCTGTGGATTATTTGTTTGACTATGTAAAGGTGTGTAGAAATTGTTGTATGATATTTGTTTAACTATACAAACATGTATTATACTTGTTTAATTATGTAAAGATGTGTTGTTGTTTTAACTTGCCTGTCTAAGGTACCTGATTGGTCTAACAGAAAGCTGAATGGCCAATAGTGAGGTATAGGCAAAACTTCCAGGCAGGGAAGAATAAGTAGGAGGAGGAATTCAGGCTCAGGGAAGAAAGAAAAAGATTACTGGGGCCAGCCAGCCAGCCTCGGATAAAGCAAGAAAGTAAGACATACAGAATGAAAGAAAAGTAAGTAAAAAGCCCTAAGGCAAAACATCGATAAATAGAAATATGTTAAAAGCATGAGCAAAGGCTGAGAATTCAGAATTAATAATAAGGCTTCATGTTTTTAATTAGTTGGCAACCCAAAGAAAATTCCCACTCATAGGGGAGGGTATTTCTATACCAATGGCCAGAACTTGTTTGATGCCTTTATAAGTCACATGCTAACAGTCTAAGGAGCTCTGGCCCAAGTCACCTGGTTTGATATCCTCACTAACTTCACTATCTTGTTCCTTCTCATTGTTTTTCTCATTTTCTCCATCTTGCGTTTTATCACCTTCATCCGATTCATTTTCCACTTTGTTTTCTGCCTGAAAGTAGTACAAAACAAGAGGGAGTGAGTAAAGCGCTTCTTTTAGGAGTGAAGACAACTTAAGCTGACAACAGGTTTCACTATTGTTTGCTAAGAAATAGAATAAATTCTGAAGGGCCTGTAAGGAAGACCCCAAAAAGAGGCCCTAACCCTAACCCAAACACATAGTGCCCAGTTCTTCTGCAACAAGGACAAGGTTTGTAATGCCCAAAGGAATCAGAGTAGCTAACCAGTGTTGTGTATTGATTGAAAACAAAAATCCAACATAAAAGACACAGTTGATTTTCCGTAGTGTGTCACTTCCCCTGCATTCATGTGTTGTATGTGCACACACATTTGCACGAGTGTGGGTGCACGTGCACAAGCATGACTGTGGTTGATGTTGGTAATTATCCCCAGTCACTCTTCCACCTTATTCAATAAGGCATGGGCTCTTAAACTCATCTTGCTTGGGGACCTGATCTCTGCCTTTTGAAGCTAAAAATGTAGGTAGGCCACCATGGGTACCTGGCATTTATTTGGATCTGAGAATCCAAGTGTTTTAATGCTGAAAGAAGCTGGCTGCCACTGCCAGAGGAAAACATGATCAAATGATTTTAGCATGCATTTTACTGATGGCTTTAGGAACACAGACAAGAACCGTGATCATGCTTTGGTAATTGAAGGCCAATTCACTGGTTAAAATTTGGTCACTTTGAAACTCTTGTGACCTCAAATAAATGAGAGAATAAATCTACAAAATGGAGACTATCACCAACTCGGTGAAGCTATTTTAACAAATAAATGAAACACTGAAAGATGGCTTAACAGACAAGGGCACTCGCTGTACTTCAGAAGGCCCAGGATGGATTCCTAGTACTCAATGGCAGCTCACAACCTCCTGCAATGCTGAACCAGGGAACCAGATTGCCTTCTTCTGGACTCCTCAAGCACCAGGCATGTAGTGCAAACTTTCATGCAGGGCTTTAGCACTCCCAAGACAGATGGAGGTAGGAAACTCTAAGTCTGAGGATTGGTCTATACAGAGAGGTCCAGTCATCCAGAGAGCTTCACAATGTGACACGTGCCAACAAAAAACCAACCACAAGGTGGGCGGTAGTAGTGTATTGCCCTTAATCCTAACATTCAGAAGACAAAGGCAAGCAGATCTCTTATTAGAGTTTTAGGCCAGCTTGGTCAACAAAGTGAGTTCTAGGACAGCCAGGGCTACAGAGGAACCTTGTCTCAAAAACCAACCAAACCAACCCCCCCCCAAAAAAATAACCAACAAAACAAAAACAAAAACAAACAACCACCCCAAAGTCTAAGAATTACAAGAAATCACATTACTCCCTCAAATATGGAAAACTGCTGAAATTATAACCAATTGTTTAGTACCAGTAGCCTCTCCTTATTTAGTTTCATACTCTCACATGTAATCAAGATCTTAAATCACACTCCTATATATTTACTCAAATAGTGAGAGTATCCATTATATGCTATAATTGATACTGTACACACCAAGGTATGGTCCTTGAAGAGGCTGTCCATTCAAGAACACTGCTGAGCCTTTACCATCACGTATGAACAAGGACACTTAGATGCTGTACATAGGCTTTGAACCCTGACCCACCATTTTAATATTGAAAGCTTTTACTCTTTAAAATCTACCTCAAAGGTTGGTTGCTCATAAATTCTCTACTAAATATTCTTCTGTCCACAGTGAAGTAAGCTAAGAAATCTTAGTACTCTGAAATTCTCTTCTGGTAAAAGTATGTAACACCCAAGTCCTACAATTCAATATTCACAGTCACCAACTTTTGTATTCATACTACCAATTGTGCCTGAACATAGTGCAAAAGAGCGGGGAGACGGTGTGGGTGTAACTATAGTGAAGACTCAATGGAAATCAGCCTGTATTATGCTTTGCCTGAACTATAACTTAAATGACAAAATCCAATGCTAGTCCCCAGAAGGAAACTTATTAATTACAAAATCTGAAAGCCAGTGTGCTGGAAAAGCACTGTATGGTTTTTCTGGGAGAAGACATCTGAACAGTCTTTACCTTTTCAAGCTGCTGACCATCAGAATCTGTTTCCATCTTCTCTTCTTCAGACCCTTCTACAAGTGAAAGAACAAAACCAATATGGAAATAGGTAAGAATCGGGTATTGTGGAACATCTGAAATGTGTTCCTATTAAGTGTAATGAACCTATCCTTCTATTGGCAAAGCATAGATAACACATCCTTTATGAGGAAGGAAGAAGGGTGTGAGAATAACAAAAAATGTAAGTCAGAACAGGAAGGGAGGTAGGAGATAACCAGGTTCAGTGTAGACAATCTGGAATGATGCCAACTAATGTTTCTTGACCTAGGGCTGTTGATGAAAATGAGTTTTACTTGAGGAAATGCAATATGCGCATGTGAATTTTCTGTATGGAATAAAGTTTTTAAAAAGGTTAAAGAATAAATATAGACATATTTCTATCAGTCCTGCAGTTGCTGAAACCACAGGAGCACCTAACTCTGGCCTCACCCACAGAAGTACAAACCATGGCATGAGCATCTTGTAAGGAGCCATGACAAACATAGGTGGTCAGAAATGCAGTATTAAGGAGACAAAATATATAACTCTGTGTGTGTGTGTGTGTGTGTGTGTGTGTGTGTGTGTGGTCCCAATTCAACAAGAAAAGTGAGAAAGAGGTTATTAATGTTGTTATTGGCTATCTAATAATTTATACAGAGAATGCTGTCAAGAATTAAGGAAGATCAGCCACATGGTGGTGGTGACACATGCCTTTAATCCCAGCACTCAGAAGGCTGAGGCCGAGGAAGGCGGATCAATGTGACTACAAGAATTAAGGAAGATCATGATCTGAAGTCAATCTCTGGGGAGGAGTGTAGGGGGAAAACGACAATATTATAGAAAATGAACATTCTTTGAAACAAAAAACCAGTCAGGTATTCTTAAAAGTAACAAGAGTTTGTTATAATTTTAACTAACAGGATATAAATACTCTACATATTAAAATTTTATATTATCCCATTGTAAATGCATCATCAATAAGGATTTGAAAACTTTAAACAGGCTCATTAACCTCCACTATAACAAAAACTACTGCTCAAATCAACGAGTAGGAAAACTGATGTCTAGTTTTTTAACTTGAGTCCACTAATCAGTTTCCAGAATAATGGCTGACTAGCAGCTACTAATCATCATATCTTCCCTAAGGGAGTAAGCATGCAATGCCAGAGGTAGTGCCAGATCATGCTAACTTTAGGACCAAGATTTGAACGGAATAGTATTATCAACATGTTGTAAAGTAATTAAACTGTAGTTGAGCCAAGTTCGTGGAAGGAAAGACCCTCCAATTTTTGCACAGGGTTGCCTAAAAACTGAGGCAATGCGGTTCTAAGACAGTGGCTAACTATGCCCACATAAGTAGCACTTATTTGAACTTAGAGGGCTTATAATTATGGACGTTATTTATGTTTTTGGAGATAAGAACTCACAGTATAGTCCAGCTTGCCCAGAAATCAGCTATGGTCCTGTCTGCCTTCTGAACACTGGGAATTAAAAATGTGCTTCACTGAGCTAGCCAGGGGATATAGAGTAATATAATATGAATATGTATGCATATCAATATATAAATGAGGACATGAAGGTGGGAAAGAGATGTGTTTGGATTAGGAGAATTGGAGGTAGGACTGTGGAGAGAATATGAGCAAGAAGCTTTGTGTGTATTTATGAAAATTTCAAACTAAAAGAAAATGAGTACATGATAATAGTGTATAAAAGATAGCATAGAGAAAATAACCATAAAAAAGACACAAAGGAATGTCATAGCATCAATAAAACAAAAATGTATGAAATTAACTCTATCACTGAGTCTAAAAAAAGATGAGCTGCAAGATAGCTCACAGATGTTTGTTGGTCTTGTACAGGACCCACATTCCAGTCCCAGCACCGACACAGTGTCTCAAAACCATCCATATCTCCAGGTTCAAGAGGTTTCAATTCCCTCTTCTGACGTCCAGGCTACCAGGTATGCAGGCAAAATCCTTATAGTCATAAACTAACACAAAAGACTCACCCCCCCAAAAAAAAAAGAAAGGAAGAAAAAGAACCCAGTGTGATGTGTACACTTTTAATTCCAGCATGAGTTCTCTGTATTTGAAATCCTGTCTCAAAAAAATGACATGAATAACAAAATGGGAGAAAGGACATGCAGAATGGTTAATAAAAAATTAGTGATGGGCAGTGGCGTAATGCATTTAATCCCAGCACTTGGAAGGCAGAGGAGACAGATCTCTGTGAGTTTTGAGGCCAGCCTGGTCTACAGAGCTGGTTACAGGACAATCAGAGCTGTTACACAGAGAAATCTTGCCTCGAAAAACAAAACAAAAAACAATTAGCACAGAAGACACAAATAAATAAATGAATGAATGAATGAATGAATGAATGAAAACTATAATTAAGATGGAGCAGAAGCAAAAATGAACTGGTTCATGGGCTGACTAAGAAATAGTAAAGACAGAACACAGAAGTGAGTCAGAGATGGAGAAAGACCACAGGAAGGGACACACTCGCTGATTAGCTGGACTGTAAAGCAAGGTAGTGTTGAATGACAGGCTGTCAGTCCAAGTAAAACCCAACACAAGCTTTGGGGAAAATGGTATTTTCTTTTTTTTTTCAAGACAGGGTTTCTCTGCATTGTTTTGGAACCTGTCCTGTAACTCAATCTGTAGACCAGGTTGGCCTCGAACTCACAGAGATCCGCCTGTGTCTGCCTCCCAAGTGCTGGGACTAAAGGCATGAACCACCTCTGCCTGGCTGAAAATAGTATTTTCTAAAATGCTCTAGAACATAGGGCCTGCTCATACCCAAATGTAAAAACAAGCAAGAATGTGTAAGTCTGGAGAATGTTCGGAGAAACAGATTTGATGAAAAAAAAGTGACTGTCAAACAGCAAAGTTAGTGATATGGATTCATTTTGATTTGTCATCTGGTTCAACCATATGCCTAGCTTCACCACCGTAGTTAAAAAAAAAGTAGTAGAACACTGTATGTGTACATACACACAAACACACAGATATATATGAGTATGCATAAATATTTTAAGTTAAAACCAAAGGCAATAGCCCAAACTGTCCATCCAAAAGAAAAGGCAGCTAAAATGGATTAAAATCATACAGAACATATTTTACAGGGGTGAATTACTTGGAACCTATAACTACATGGACACTGAATGAGAAAAAGAGAAAGTCATCTCAAACGTATAAATATTCCATAGTTTATAAAAACTAAAACGCAATTAAAAATTATACTTAACTTATGTTGCTTAACTGTTATCTATGTTAGTGATAAAAGTCATTTTAAAAGTATACAGAACTCTAAAATACAGGATTCCCACTGCTAGGAGTGGGAAGGTGAGAAGAACATGGAGGAAGAGAATTATCAGTAATGTTCTGATTTAAAAATGTAGCTTCTGGCTGATATAGTGGAGCACCCCTTTAACACCAGCACTCTATAGGAAGAAACAGATAGATGTATGTGTTCCACATAATGAAATTCTATCTGAAAACATGAGGGCTTAAATTGATAAAATTCGAGCAGAAAGCCAAACAGAAAATGCAATATATATACATTTTAAATTAATATATATATCATCATCAAGAAATACCTGATTTGCTTTTGAAAAACTACCCACAATTATATATATTCTATTTCCACATTCCAAAAGTATTACACATTCACATTCTCTTTGGTAAGGCAAGGCAAATATGACACCAACCTTTTTAAAATTGGCCATTATTCTAAGATAAAAGGCAATGCAATTTAATATCTGCTTATAGAATGATGGTGTAGTAAAGAGCGATTTAATGCAAAAAAAAAAAAAAACTAAGAAAAACTGCTGTACTCTTAGGGAATGTTTTTGAAAAGTTTAATTGTATGTTGTGTATTTCTCTCATGAAAACATAGCTTCTGCTTGGTTTGAGTTGTGATATGAACTGTCAACCCGGCTGTTCGTTCGTTCGTTCATTCATTCATTTATTCATTCATTCTCTTTGGTTTTTGAGACAGATTCTCTACATAGCCCTGCCTGTCCTGAACTCAGTGTTAAGACCAGGCTGTCCTTGAACTCAGTGAGATCTGCCTGCATCTGCCTCCCTAGTGCTGGGATTACAGGTGTGTACTGCTACATCCCACTAGCAAGTACTGTATTTACTTTCACTTCTTGGGTGCGGGTGTTTTGCCTGCACATGTCTGTGCATCGCCTGCATGCACTGCAATGTGCCAGGATAGAGAAGAGGGCATATAATGCCCTGGAACCGAGTTATAGAGCTGTGAGCTTCGATGTGAGTGCAGGGATTCATAGGTTGATCTCATAAAAGGGCGGCTAGTTAGGGCTCTTAATTGCTGAGCCTTCTCTCCAGTCCCCAAACTGTCAACCTTAGAGATGATGCAGACTCTTATTTCCTTTATCATTTTGATGGTGTTCATAGAACAAAAGGCTGAAAATCCCATGTCCCAGCTGATAGAATGTCCCATGTATACATAGCTTAAGAAAATACTTAGAAACTATTTTTAATTTTTGAGATGGGGGTCTCACTATGTAGACTAGGTCTGCTTGGAACTGATGGGATCTTCCTCTGACACCTAGGTGCTAGGATCAAAGATTTGTGCCACCAAACCCCATAAGAATACATTTTTAAAATTTAACTTGAACAAGGTAGGACACTGCATAAACTGAGGAGTAGTTGCCAAAATCATTCTAAAAATAATGTGGTTAGTAAAAATGAGGATTGAAATCATTACCTAAATGGCTAAAAGAAATTGGAATTATATCTAGTTATTTTATAAAGGTAATTTACAGATGAGGTACTGAGTTAGTAAATAATTATAGAACTTATTAAATAATCAAGAATGATATATAGTTACTTATTGAGAACATACTATAAGGCAGGTATTTCATAAGCATTTGAGTCTCCCAGTTTAACCTTCCAATTTCTCTTAGCCTTTTAGTCTAAAATCAGTTCTTAATTGAGCCTTTAACCATTAAGGCCTGCCTAAGATTTAAGTGTTTTCTGATTATTCACATTGGGTGCCGTTAACTTCTGTTATGTGACATATGCTTGCCTTTGTGGACTGTTGTATTAAAAAATTAGGTATTTTGTTACCTTTATATATCTATATCTACACATCTTGCTATGAAGTATGCGTGTCAAGTAAGATAACATATGAAACTGTTTAAGGCTACTTTTATTGTTCTGTTGCACATAGTTGAAAAATTCTTTCCATTGTTGGATGATTTCTGTGTAAAACAAAAGCACAGAATTAATTATTTAAAAAGTACCCAACACAGAACATGTGCTCAGTGGAGTAAAGGTGATCTGTAATGCTTGAGAACACCAGTGCTAGCTAAGAAAAAGAATCAGGACATAAAAGGCTCATGTGAATCACTGGCAATAGAATAGGGAGACTAAAAAGCCAAGTACAGTAACCCAACCTGCACTTCCCACACGTAGGAGGTTGAGGCTAGAAAGTGAGAACCTGTTTCAAGGAAACAATAAACAAACCCCCAGAGGTAGGAGAATCATTTTATGAAATCGAAAATGTTACAGAATAAAGACAAATGTGAATATAGTAGAAATTATTGAATTACAAACTAAGTGGATAAAATAGGGAGTTTTATTTTATAGGTATTTTACGCAAGTTTTTAAAACACAATTTTAAAGTAACTTAAGTACATATAATGAAACAGATTGATCATCAACCATAAAAATCTCAAAATAGCCAGGCACAGTAGTGTATACCTTTAATTCTGGCACTCAGAAGGGAGAGGGTAGGTAGATCTCTATGAATTCGATTTGAGAGAGTTCCAGGACTCCAAGAGCTTTTACACAAAGAAACCATGTCTTGAAAACAAAACAGAAAACCCCAAAAATGTCCTAATTATAAAACTATTGTTTAGTTACCAGGCATTATTTTTAGTTCTTGCTTTCTCCATGCCATTTTGTGCCATACTCCCTAAGTATGTGAGAGGAAAACAAAAAATTCAGGCACTAAACTTAAAGAGGCAAGTTTATACTGATCACTTTGTTTGTTTAAGTGTAAACAAACCCTATTATCTCACACAATGACAGGGAATATAAACATCTGAAACCAAATCCTGGGCAGAGCAATGACTCACCAAGTTTTTCTGGCTCATCAGGACCGGTGCCTGCAATACAGCTGCTCTCCAAGCCATAGGTCGGATCCACCTTTCCAGAAGCTCTCGCAGCTTCTTGTACTTTTTTGACATGTGCTTCAACTAATTCCAGTGGTACTTCTTCTCGGACCCGAGAAAACTCCTCTGATTCAAAAATCAAAAGAAAATAGCATTTTCATTTTGCATAGATATGTGGTCCTATACATGACCTAGAGTATCTGGCACAGCAGCATTGTTTTGGTTTTAATGAGATCTTTGGGGCAGAGGGTAAAATGAATCAATCTACTTTTTTTTTTTTGGGGGGGGGGAGGGTTCGAGAAAGGGTTTCCCTGTGGCTTTGGAGCTTGTCCTAGAACTCGCAGTATAGACCAGGCTGGCCATGAACTTACAGAGATTCACCTTCTTTTGCCTCCCAAGTGCTGGGATTAAAAAGGCTTGTGTCACCAAACTGTATTCCAGATTTTTACCCTAAACATCTAATAACATCTTAAATAATACTTTTATAAGATTTTTAAAGATCTATTGGTAACAATTAAAATTGCAGTCCTAATTTTATCTCTGTTGACTACACTGGCAGTTGTAAAAAAAAAAAAAAAAAAACACCAAGGATCAAAGCTAAAAATCCTTTAATAGCAAAGACATCAGAACAAAATTAATTTGCTACAAATATGACATAACTTCTATTCTTCGGCTCTACCAATTTCCTAATGCCACAAAACACATACTTTTCTATAAATATGTGAGGAAAGAAATGTTTACGTGCATATACATAAGAGACAAAATCTATTGCAGTCCAAGATGAAGCTCAAAGTCATGATTTTTGCCTCTGCCTCCCAGAAGTTATTTCACAGGTGTCTGTCACCACCTCTGGCTGCTCATCTAATTCTAAGCAAATATTCTCTCGGCAGGAAAAGGCACTTGTGGCTAAACTGACAGTTTTAAGTTTCATTCACAAGGCACACATGGTAGAATCCTCCTCCCCCTGCTAGTCCTTTGACCTTCAGACATAAACTACAGGTGATTACATAAACACACATATACAAAATAGACTTTAAAAAAAAAAAAAAAACGTGAAAGAGAAATTAAATGCTCTTAACCTACGAACTATTTTAATACATTATAAGGTTATTTATAACGTCTATGAAGCCCCCCCCTTTTTTTGTGATTTGCAAAACGAGTATAACTTTGTGAGTTTAAGTGTGTAGATTTGAATTTGTGTGTAAGTTCACTCCAATGGGCATGTGTGCAGACCAGAGGTTTACATCAGGACAGATTTTTCTCTTTCACATCTTCCTCCATCTTATTCTCTGAGATGCTGCCAGTGACCATCTATCTCTGCCCCTAGTGAAGATTCTACAAGCACAATCTGGAATGTCCAGCTATAACATGGATTTTGGAGATGCAAACTCAGGCCATTATGCTTACATAGCAGGCAACTTACCTTGAGCTCACAGTTAACAATATTTAAATCTGAGGTCAGCCTTTATAGTGCTGGAGAGGCAGCTTACACAGAAAGTACATACCCAACGCTGCTTTTGCTGCAGCAGATGCCACACGAGGATCAACCACAGATGCTAAAAAAGCAACAGTACTCATCACTGGGTTTCCGGACTGGCTGAAAGGGACAGGCTGGTAAGCTAGAGGCCCAAGGGAAGCATCCGAATTTTCAAGGTATGGGTCCTCAATGGGAAGCCTCAAAAAGTGAAGGATGCATTCATCCTGAGTACGACTTCCAACATGTTCTGAGACTTTATTCCAATCATCCTTGTACATTTCCAGAGCCTAAATAAATGAAGACTGTTAATATCAAGTAAAAAGGAGATGATATGTCAGGAAAAATGAAGCATGTGGTTTTCCCCCCTCTTCCATGTGACAGGGTCTCACTATAAGGTACAAACTGGTCTCAAACTTCTAATCTCATTGCTCAAACTCCAGAGTGCTGTAAGAGGCAAAACCACCTGGTTTGCTAACATTCTTTAATCAGTACTTCTTAAAATTCTGGGTAGTAATTTAGTTGTAATGGCACATGCCTTTAAACCTCAATGCTCAGTAAACTGAGGCAGAAAGAAGTTTTAAAGATTACCAGATTGGGAAAGAAGATATCTCAAAATAATAATATAAATGATTATTTGCACATTAGAATAAAATGGTAATTTGACGATTTTCATTGTAGTAAGCTATGAGACGGGCAACAAAAATAAAGAAAATATATGCACATTATAAACCTGCCCTTTAACAGGATTGGTATGGTTTACATAAAACCGTCTAAAGAAAATGAAAGATAGTAAAGATTAACACTAAATATAAAATGACCAGTGAAAAGTGCAACAGAAGATAAAAATGGTACTTGTATTTCTCTAATAACAATAAATAATTTTAAATTGGAATACTTGAACAGCATTAAAATGAAATAAAAAGTTCACTAAATTATGTGTAAGATGAAGAGGTTAAAAAGAAAATCAAACCGAGAAAAATCAACAACCTGATAAATGAAGAGATAGTTACTCCATTAGAAGCCATTCTATGATCAACTATTTCGAAAGTAAAGCATAAATTATCAAAAACTACAGGTAAAGGGTAAGCAACATACCTAGCAGATAAGTCATTTGTTTAGCAGCCCACCTGACGCTAGGAGAGAACCGACTTCAAAGTTGTCCTCATATACTCAGACTACATACATACATACATACATACATACATACATACATACATACAAAATAACAAAATTAAGATATACCAGATGGTATATTTTTAATAAAAATTGAGACTAATAGTAAGATTTTTAAGTCATAAAATTTATAAATTTTGGTTAAAAAAAAAATCCTAACAAACCTTAAATAATAACAGGTTAAAGACAAAATACACCAAGAAAAAAAAGAAATATAAATACAAGAACTGAAATAACTTAAAGACTTTTTAGGAGCTCACTGAAGTTACATCTCTTTAGGATCATGACTTCCTACCGTTTGCTAATATTTTTGTTTGTTTATTTGTTAATATTTTGTTGTGGTGGCAGGAGCTTGTGAATGTTCTAGGTAGAGCTTCTCATTACCATTTTACAAGGCTGGAAAATCATTAATTCAAAAGAAGTTTTCTCTCCTACCTTCAAAGGATTCACATTTTATCAGTTAGCTATCAGGCTAAAGTCAAACATGATCAAAACAACCCCATTCTCTACTCCTTAGGCAGACGAGTAAGTCAGATCCCAAGACGCTATTCTAAGCCAGTACATAGGAACCAGGTAGGTACATTTCTGTGAGTTCCAGACCAGCCTGGTACACAAAATGATTCCCAGGACAGTCAAGGCTACACAGAAACCCTGTCTCAAATAACTAAAAAATAAAAGTGAGGTTGGGCAAGGTAAAACATGGCTTTAATAGAAGCACTTGGGAGGCAGGGGCAAGAGACAGGCAGAGGCCATCCTGGTCTACACAGTGAGTTTCAAGACAGCCAGGACTCTATAAAGGAGCTGGTCTCAAAACACACACACACACACACACACACACACAAAACAGTAAGTAGGCAATCTAAAAAATAAATAACTAGACTTACCTATTAGGGACAAATCTAAGTTTTGTTTGGATATGACTCAATTTTGATGGTTACCTATTCTGAAGCTTATCTTGAGGATGTGTGTGTGTGTACACAAACGTGTGTGAACCAGCATGCAATGCATGTGCATGAAGACCAGAGGTCAATGTCTAGTTATCTAATACTACTGACCTCCATTTGATTTTTTAGACACAGGTCTCTCATTTGGGCCTGCTGATAAAAGCATTTGCAGCCAAGCCTAATAAACTGAGTTCAACCATGGGATCCCATTGGAGAAGAAAAGAACTGTCATCATGCAGTTATCACCCCACCCCCAATGAAACAAACAAACAAACAAACAACAAAGTTCCTAGCTACTACTTTTTTTTCTCTTACTGCTGGGATTATTGAAGAGTACAGCCAATAGGCCATCTACTATTCAAAATAGTCTTGACTGATGGCCTACATCACAGAAGTTTTATAACAGTTTTGAAGGCTGGAAGATCAAAACTCCCATGTGCACACCTAACACTAAGTTACAAATGTGAAAGGAAAGACAGAAACATGCTTTGGTTTGAGGAAAAGCATCCTGTCTAGCTAACTGGTCTAGCCTCTTGCATGCTGAGATCACAGGTGTGCAGCACCATACCTGGCACTTTCTGTGTGTGTGCATTTTGCTATTTTTTTCATTTAAGGTTTTTGAAACAGTTGTCCTACCTGACCATGAAGAGCAAAGGACTTGCAATCCTCAAGTATCAGTCTTCAAATGCTAAGATTAAAGAGTGTGTATCTAGAAACCAACTTTTAAGCTAGTAATTGCTCTAAACAAACTGCATTTATGGATAGTGTTAATGGTAAACAATGCTGCTGAGACTTACTTTCTTCTTATGTTTAAAAAAGAATTCAACATAAACACAGCCCAGATTCCACCCGAAGCACAGAAAATGTATTATTGTTTAAGGATACAACTGTTTTCTTCAGTTTGTTCTGAATAAAGAGTAGATGAGGGTTTCTTATGTAACTTACATATTTGGTTTTGAGTCTTGGCTTTAATGGCTGAGCCATCTCTCCCGCACCATCCACTAATCTCACAGCTGGGGAAGAGGGAATTCGGAGCACCGGTGAGCAGAACTGCTGCTGTTTGCAGCTGTACTGCAATTAAATTGCTCCTAACGGCACAAAGGTCCCACCAGCACTAAAAACAAGTTGTGTTCACCTGTGAGTATTGAGCGCACTCTGTCTCAGCGCCATACAGCACAGATATGTTTAGTTAGGAGTTTGGATTGTGAAAGGTAGGGCTGAAAAGACTCGTGCTTAACACAGATATCAGACGGAGAGTCTAGAATAACTTAAAATAGCAACAGGAAGGGTATCCTTTTGAATTGTATTTAGAGACAAAGAAGAAAACAGAGCAAGTAGGAATTTACATGCATCAGCTTTAAGGATAGGTCACCGGTCAGCTCACCTCGAGGAGGAGAAGGGTCTCCTGTTCTGTCCACTCCCTTCCAGCACTAGCACCTTTACTCTAAAGAAACAGAGTCAAAAATTATTTATTCATCACCAATGGATATGGATGGAGTTCAAGCAGGACTTCTTTAAGCATAGAACAATTTTACCCGGTCCACTAAGATGAGTCCCCCAATAATTAAACATTCAAAAAGTTCAAAATTCAATGGAGGGTCTGGCATGCTTCAACAGCTTCCTGTTTTCATTAGTCACTGGAACTAGTTCCATGTTATTTTAACTTTGGAAGATATAAATTCAGAAATTCATAAATAAGATAAATCACCTATAATTCTGCAAAAGTAACCTATATGCCAGAAAGCTGATAAGGTAAAGGCAGTCACCATTAGGCCTGACAGACTGAGTTTGTTAGGCCTGACAGACGGAGTTTGAGTCTCCAGAACCCATTTGGATGAAAGAGAACAGTGACTTCCAAAACTTGTCCTCTGACTCCACAGAACTGAGTTTGCATGCACATACACACATAATGGGGGAAATTAGCGTAAATATTTAGTAAAAGTTGAAAAAATAACTTTCCGTAGAATTCTAAGAAAAAATGTACCACACATATAAAACACTAGATTAACTTTTAATTTTTACTTTTACTTGAGCTGTATGAATGTTTTGCTCACGTGTGTACATGTGCATGCAGTACACACAGAGGCCAGCAGGTCCCCTGCAATTGGAGTTATAGAAGGTAATAAGCCAGGAACCAAACCAAGGTTCTTTACAAGAACTTATTCTTAACTACTAGGATATCTTTGAATGCAAATACTCAGGGTTCATCCAACCTTAACATTTCCACATTATCTCCCACCCACATATCTGAAAAGTCTCCCCATGATTCCCTACAGTCACATGACTTCTTTCTTGACAATCCCTAGCTAGAAGAAGGAGGTATTAGGACACTGGTGTCATACAGGTTATAGTCACCTGAACTATGACAAGAGAATCCTTGATTGGCAGACCATGTTCCACACACAGACTCACTTGGGACAGCCTATGTGGTATAGTTGATAATATTCTCTACTTTTAAATGTATATACTTCAAAGACAGATAGATGAAATTAATACTACAAATTTTCCTACTCTGATTTCTATAATCTTTGAAAGTCTGTAATATTTGCATAGGAACAGTAAGTGTTCTTAATCACTGAACCATCTCTCCAGCCTCACTGTTTAGTTTTGCTGTTCTGAGAGTGGATCTTACTTTATCAATCTCAAACATCAAATAATAAGCCTGCTTAGTGCTAGAATTATGAAAAAACGGGGAATGTATTTTGTCCTAATCATGCAGTCTGTATGAAGATAGTGGAATGTTTCATTTGTTTTTCACACTATTACACAGTCTGAACAAACCAAAAATTATATTATGACCATTTAAGATATTTGCATTTTGTCAATTCTACATATGAATTTACAAATGATTCTTAATTTTTTGCTTCCATGTCCAAGAACACTAGTTATGTATCTATCAACAGGATATCTATGTTTATCTATAGGAACATTCTCTTTCCTTTTAGATTGCTAGAAGAGACTCAGAACACTGGAATTATTTCTTTGGTGTTTGTGACAAGTTAACCAGTGGAATCTTGACATAGACTGTTGTTGGGGAATAACTATAAGTACTTGCTGACACTGATACTTATATCTGAGGCATTTCCAGTGTTGACTATTTCCCAATTTTTGTTTATATATTTCTATACTTTATGCCTACACATGTACGTATGAATGTGGAATCTGAAAATATCATGCATTCTTAATTATAGCTTTTTTTAATCATCACCAGAGCATGTGTTTGAACAACTCTGTTGTCTTTATATGCTAAATATAATTAATGCTCTGGCTCTGAGGTGAATGCAGGTATATCTTCCTCCATTGTTTTACTTTTAGTTGTGTCTATGTTGTAAACTCAAGTTTTTGACTTTTTTTTAACCCAATTTGACAATTTTGCAATTTCAGTGGAGTGTTAAACTGTATGCAAGAATAAACAACTTTTCAAATATAAAACACAAACCTGTATGCAAGAAAATAAAAATGTATGTAAGAGGAGGGCTGAAGAGAAAGTTCAACAGTTATGATCACTAGCTGTTTTTCCAGAGCACAAAGGTTCCATAATCAGCATGGCTTACAATCATCTCTAAAACTCCAGTTCCAGAGGATCTAATGCCATCTTCTGAACTAACGGGGTACTGCATGCAAATGGTATACAGACATACAAATAATTAAAAATTTAAAAATAAAAACTAAAATATCCAATGTGGCTGGGACTCAGTGGTGGGGCTCTTGCCTAGCATTTGTGATACCCTGAATTCAATTTCCAGCATGGGGGGGGGGGGCGCTTAAAGAGAGAAGGCACACAAGCATATTTTGTTATTATTGTTAGGGTCAAATGATAATCGCTATTTTCTGTTTCTTTAAATGTTCCTTTTATTGAATATTTCTATGTTTGAGCAAATATTTTTTTCTCTTTTAAAAAACAAATCTTGCTTTTGTGCTCTGACTTCAAACTCACTATGTTATGCCCAGCCTGTTATCAAATTTGCCTTTATCCACCTCAGTGCTGAGACTACAAGAATTAGAAACCATATTAAAAACTGAGATTATGGTTTTACTATTGTAAACACAAACACACACACACGTATAAAAGTTACTAGGGAATTATACTTAAAATAGCTGTGTTAGGACTTACAACATTAGTTTACAATTGGTCAGTCTACTTTGAATTAATATTTTTGCATTTCCTATAAAATGTAGAAACATCCGAAGTATACTTTCATTTCCTGTTCTTTGTGCTGAATACGGAAATGGTCACTCACACCCACACATAATGGACCCAAACACTTAATATTACTACTTTTATTTAAAAAGGTCTTGAGCTTTTATGAAAAGCTCAATGACATGTCACCATGCGCAGTCAAAAAAAAAAAAAATCTGTACTGTTTAATACACTGGCCTTTCAAGTACACTTTATTCAATTATGTGTATTGTAAAAATACTTTGGAAAATTATAATTGAAGGGCTGGAGAGAAGGCATGTGGGTTACTAGCACTAGTTGCTCTTCTAAAGACCTGGGTTATTATTTCAGCACCCACATAGCAGTTCTGAAGTACCTGTAACTCCACTTTTACCCAATCTGACACGACACCCTTCCCTGGTCTTCACAGCAACCACTCAAACAAAGCACATGAACATGCAGATGAAGATTCATGCACATAAAAGTACACAGGACTGCAGAGACAGCACAACAGTAAAGGCATTCTTTGTTGCTCAGAAGACTCAGTTTCAATTCCCAACAATCATATGGTATCTCACAACCATCTTCTAACTTCAGTTCCAGAACATCCAATATCCTCTTCTGGGCTCTGTAGGCATGATTTCATCATGCACAACAAAGACATGCATGCAAGTGAAAAACCCCAAAACACAAAGGAATGGCCAAAAGTGTTAGGGAAACATACACTAAGCAAAAAGATTTCTGGGTAATTCAGAAAAGCAGGCAGAGTAGGATGATGCATAGCCATGAACCACTGCTGACTTGTGTTAATTCTATCTGGGCTCATTTCTTTTCATCCTCAGGAACTTCCTATAGGTTTTTGCAAAATGCTAACAGCAACTTCTATACTTTTAAACATTTCAAACATCGTTTTACCCTATTGATTATTTAATACAGATTTCAGGAATGAGTTTGTAGTCCCATACAATAGTTTTTTGTCCTTTGTCATCTATCATTGATGATGTAGCATCAGCCATCAGTTGGGGGTTTTTGTTGTTGTTGATTTCAGTTTGTTTTGAGGGAGAGATAAAATTTCTCTGTAACAGTTCTGGCTGTCCTGGAACTCATTCTGTAGACCAGATCTGACTATGCTACCACCACAACTGGAAGCCATCAATTTTATTATTCATTTAAATCCAATTTCATTTCTTACCCATATTATTTAGCCTCCTCATTTAGATTTTATCATGATTTAAAACTCATTAGTGGGTGGTGGTGGCGCACACCTTTGGTCCCAGCACTCAGGAGGCAGAGGCAGGTGGATCTCTGTGAGTCCGAGGACAGCCAGGACTACACACTGAAGCCCTGTCCCGAAAAAAAAAAAACAAGCAAACAAATGAACTGTATTGTTTTTGAATGAGGTGTATATGTGCATGTTCCTTAGTGAGAATGTGTACACTGGGGTCAAGGACAACCTCAGGTGAAGGCTTTAAGACTCCACTGATGGGAGATGTCATTCTGTATAGGTTTCTTATACTGGTTAATGAATAAAGCACTGTTGGCCAATAGGAAAGGAAGATAGGAGGGACTAGGAGAGGAGGAGGAAAGAGGAAGGAGTAGGGAGGAGTCAAGATGGAGAGTCGGGAGAAAGCAGTATGCTGCAGGCTCCCCGGTAAGAGAAATACATAGATCAGCAGAAATGGGTTAATACTGAAGACAGAGTTAGCCGATAAGAAACAAGTACCTGGCCAACAGAATTATATCTAATACAGAGTCTCAGTGTGTTAATTGGGGCTGGCGCGGCGGCGGGACAAGACCAGGCGGCAGGTGGAAAAACCGTACTCCTTACACTCCACCTTGGTTTTGGCAATGTCCCTTTGTCTGTGTCCCTCTGTGCTGCCTACTCCACAACACTGGACCTGCAGGTTTCAAGCAGGTTGGCCTGTCTGTCTCCTCCCTTTTCCCCCAAGAAGGCACCACCACATACGGCTTTTAAGTGTGTGCTAAAGATTTAAATTCAGGTTGTTAGACTTGGTTGCAAGTACTGTGAAGCCCTAAGCCACTTTGCCACCCCTGTATGTATATATCTTTTTATTAGTTCTAGCATAGAGTTAATCATTACATAGACAACTCATCAATCCTATTGTGGTAGTTTGAATGTAACCAGCCCAAAATCTCATAGGGAGTGGCACTATTAAGGAGGTATGGCTTTGATGTAGTGGGTATGGCCTTGTTGGAGGAAGTGTGCCCCTGTGGGGTGGCCGTGGAGGTTTCCTATGCTCAGGATACCACCCAGTGTCGGCTGACTTCCTGTTACCTCCAAGATGTAGCACTCTCAGACCTAGCACACCTGCATGCCACCATGCTCCCTAACATGATAATGGACTGAACCTCTCAAACTACAGCTGTCACCCCAGCAAAATGCGTTCTTTTAGAGTTGTCATGGTGTATCTTCACAGCAATGAAAACCCTAAAGACAGCAATATCTACACTTCTTTCTTGTCCTCTAATGACATATTCTTGATTGATGACAAGGCTCCTGTACTTTGCTCTTATTGTTTCATACTTTCTTCACCATTATCCATTTACGTTTTTTCTTATTGGTTCAGTGAGTAAACAGGGCCCTAAACTCACTAACTTGTTTTGTAATCTCAATAGTCTGCTGATTCACTATAGAAGCTAACAACATTAATGCCTGCTTCTTACTATACATTCTAATTTACTTCTCAAAATGTATTAACTTCAAAATGTACTATCCATAGTTATTTTTAAATAACTATCTGCTAATCATATAAGTGACTATTGAAATGCATCAGAGCTCAGTAGAAACCTTGCTAACACCTTGCTAGATCCTATCAAAGACTGGATTGCCTATAAAAGCCATGCAAGTGGGTGGTCCATGTGGGTTTACAAAAAGGTCTTTACCTTTGCCAGTGTTTTCTTGGAGTAAATGTCAGTTCGAAGACCAAAGTTCTGCAAATCAATTGGTTTTTCCTTATTCTTTTCAGGAAAATTTAACATCTGCTGAGCAGCAGGGACCTATGAGGTAGATAAATGACAAAATGACATTAGCCTTTTCAAATTCAAGGGGATAGAAGTTCTGAGGGGGGGGGTTGTCTTATTTTGTTCATTGTGTTTTGTTTATGACTGGAATTATAGATATTGTGAGCTGACATGTGGGTGCTGGGAATTGAACCTGGATCCTCAGAAGAGCATCCTGTGCTCTAACCACTGAAAATTCAATCTAGTATTAAAATCGTATTTAACATTGGTTCTTAAATCTCTTTGTCAGCTGAGTGTGGTAACACACATATTTCATTACAGAACTTGGGAGGCAGAGGTAGGAGGATCTCTTTGAGTTCAAGGCCAGCCTGATATACAGAGTGAGGGCCAGGACAGCCAGGGCCACATAGTAAAATCTTCTCTCAAAAAAGAAAACAAAACAAATAAAAAAGAAATGCTTTGGATCAAGTTTTCACAAAATCACACTGGTAAGAACTTGCATTGAAAAGACAAGTGTTCTTGGTGCTCTCTTAACTCAGAAAGGGCAGCCACTTTCTCTGCTAACATGATATAGTCTCTTTAGCAATAAAGAGCAAATACAGTATGAACGTCCTACTTTAATAATTTGTTTGGTACAGTAGTCTTTCAAAACAATGTACATTTACTTCTGAAATAGTAATTATTAAAATTTTTAAATGTACATTTTTAAGACACAGACTGGATGAAAAGTTCATTGTCTTGTCTGCTTATTGACTAGTAACATTGATGGCAAAGGGATAAGGTGCTAAAAAGTAACTAAATTTTGTAACTTCATACTATAATTAAATTGGTGGCACATTACCTTAAACGTATATACACATTGTCGTGAACACAAATTTCCACTTGGAGACATGAAAACCAAACTGTACACAATCCCAAGAATCACCCTGATCACTAGAATGGGTACTTCCAACAGGACAAGAATGAAAGGTCGCCCTCAAGAGCTGTTAGACCGAACTTACCTGAGGTGATCGAAGATGCAGAGGCACAAGGCCTGAGGGTGTGTCGGCTAACACATTGAAATGAGGGGTAGGAGGAGGCCCCATTGCCATGGGTCGACTTTCAGGATCTACTTGGTAGTTAACAAGGCCCCACTGCTCTAAGAAGGCATGAACCCTGAAAGAGAAGAGTTATATACATTACGTTCTAGAGAACAAATCCGGGTTGTGAACCCATGATCATACAATTTGTAAAATGTTCTGCAGGTGACAAACTAGCCAAGTATCTTGGTGCTGTCTGAGGGAGAATGCACAACCTTCACAGTGAGTAAAATGTCAATTAATTGTGGGTGTTCATTTTGCTTTCTATTTTTGAGATGAAAAAACTCCTTCTCTGAATTCAGAAATGGAAATCCAAAATTTAATTTTGTTCTGAAATGGTATTTACACTTTCCACTCAAATCTCTTGTCATTGTATGATCTGAATACAAAACAAGACATAAACTATGCAATACAGTCTTGTGGAAAAGAATATTTGTCTAACTATATAAAGATGTACTGCTATTTCATCTAGTCTGCCTAAAGTACCTGATTGGTCTAAGAAAAACCTGAATGGCTAATAGCTGGGCCAAGTAGAGACAGGCAGGGCTGGCAGGCAGAGAGAAAATGGGAGGCAGCCAGCCAGCTGAGGGTCAAACAGAATGGAAGAAGCAGAAACAGGATGGCCAGCACTAAGGCAAGGTAAACAATCATCTGGACAGCACATAAATGAATGGAAATGGCTTAATTTAAGGTTAAAAAAAAAAAAAAAAACAAGCCTAAGATAAGGCTGACAATTCATTAGTAAGTCTCCACAATATGGGGGTTGGCCGTGTAAGAACAAATTATTAAAATTAGTATTAAAAATACAGAATCCCTTTGAGTGCAATGAAGAAGTCTACCTAGTTAATCTTGTCAACTATATGGGCAAGAGACAGTTGTGAGCCACCATGTCGTCGTTGGGAATTGAACCTGGGTCTTCTGAAGAGCAGCTGGTGCTCTTAACCACTAAGCCATCTCTCCATCCCCAATATCCTTGAGTTTTTTAAAAGCATTTGTGGCAGAAATCCTGCAGTATACTGTCTCTCAAATTTGGCCAGCACCCATGTCAGACTGAGCCTAAATGTCTATAGATGTCCTCTTCTGGAATTCAAGCTCAAACTAGCACACGAAAACAAAAGTGGTTAGATATAAAAGAGCAATGTAGCTCTAACCACCTATAGTACAGGATCTAAGCGAAACATTTACCTCATCACAGCACACACATCTCCAGTCAGGTTTCTCCGACAAGCAGTACTGGTTAAATATTCTTGGGGATTTAGACGGTATGTGTCAATCATAAAATTTCGATATGCCAAGTATCTAAAAAACACAAGGGCAAAATTCTTAAGGTAGACTTGCATCTTTTAGATAAAATGTTTCCAAAGACAAAACTCAAAATTTGACATCCATAGGCAAAAAAAAAAAAAAAAAAAAAAGGACAATATTAAGCAGCAACACTGATATTGTACTAAAATATTAATAGTTCCAGGGGAATCTGATGAACATAAAATAAAGTTAAATGAATTATTTAAAAAGAAAATTAAGAATGTTAAGGATTGTGTCATCTATCAACAAGTTCCCTTGCCCCATCCCCAAAGATAGGGTTTCTCTGTGTAGTCCTGGCTGTCCTGGCCAGAACTCACTCTGCAAACCAAGCTGGTCTTGAACTCAAAGATCCACCTGCTCTGCTGGGATTAAAGGTATAGCCTATCACAAGTTTTTGCATGCACTAACAAAATGTTTGCATGTAAGAAACAAAAATTTCACAAGGCAGTTACATAAGAGCAAAAAGGCAAATAGTTCAAAAGTTTACTGCCCAACCATGAACATACAAAATGACTAAATTTACAAGAAGAAAAGGCTAAAATAAAAAAGTCTAATTAATTTTAAAGTCATGACTCCCTAAACACTGAAGTATTTAAAAAGATGGAAAAACAACCCTGGCTTTAAATCACAATCTGGAATTTTTTAACACTAAAACAGCAGTTATCTCTGACATCAAAGCACTGAATTCAAATTAACTTGGAAAACTACAACCAGGGTCCATGGAAAAGATTTTAAGTCATTTCTTCCTAAAATGGTATGATCACAAGACAGTCTAACTTTGGAAGCACACATGCAATGCAAATAGAGTAGAACGGAGCGTTAATCTCAGAGACAAGAGGCTCAAGAAGCAGGCCAAGCTCTGTGGCCTCAGCGGCAGAAGCAAGATGACGAAAGGAACGTCATCCTTTGGAAAGCGTCGCAATAAGACGCACACGTTGTGCCGCCGCTGTGGCTCCAAGGCCTACCACCTTCAGAAGTCCACCTGTGGCAAATGTGGCTGCCCTGCCAAGCGCAAGAGAGAGTATAACTGGAGTGCCAAGGCTAAGAGGCGAAACACTACCGGGACTGGGCGTATGAGGCACCTAAAGATTGTCTATCGAAGATTCAGACATGGATTCCGTGAAGGGACAACACCTAAACCCAAGAGAGCAGCTGTTGCAGCATCCAGCTCATCTTAATGATTTCAGTCAGTCATAAAATAAATGTTCTGGTTTCGGGGGAAAAAAAAAAAAAAAAAAGAAGCAGGCCAAGCACCTGTTTGACCCCCATCAGGAACAAAGGCAGGCAGATAGTTCGAGGCTAGGCTGGCCTTCATAGTAAGACTCTATCTCAAACAAACAAACAGAAAGAAAGACAGCAAAAATAAAAGAGCAAACAACAAATTTCCAGAAATACATAATGGGTCACACACACAAAAAAATACACTGTGTACTTCCCCCTCCAGTTTTTTCTAATTATATTGCAAAAGCAAATGCTCTAGGTAATTTAACTCAATTCAAATGCAGCTGAATGGTTCTATACAACATGCTTGCAATTAGTAATAATTTATAATGGGGCAAAATGGTTCCATTCCATACCTGACCATAAAGCTATAGAAACAATTACAAGCTACTACGACAAACCTCAACTAAATACCATTTATTACATTCAAGATTTAAGTGCTAGAACTGATATACATATAATCTGGTTTAGAAAAACTACAAGTTCCTTTAAAGTTAAAAGCATGCAGAAGATGTGTATAATTTCTGAGTGGTGTACACTATTTGTATATTAAAAATAAAAAAGTAAAAAGTAGTAACAACCAAGTGAGATTGTATTTTTTGAATCAGGAGAATCAGGGTTATTAAAAGCACTTGCTGCTGATTTTGCAAAGGACTGAGATTTGGCTCATAACCTACTTTAGTTTCAGCTTCAAGAGACCCAATGCCCTCTTCTAGCCATCACATTCACTGCACATACGTGGTACGCATAAATACATATGCAAGCAAAACACTCATACAAAAAACTAAAGCAACAAATTCATGCTATGAACATAAAAAAGTACTATAAAAATACTGGGCTCACATTTCTGGAGTCTTGGATTTGTTTTTTCCATTAAAAAACTCAGGAAGAGCACGCCGTTCAATCACATGAATACTGAAGAAAAAAAAAGGGAGAGTAGTGGATTTAGATTGCTTTTTGGAAAACAAATCAATATTAAAATTTGAGCTCTGCATTATTCAAGTTTCAAAGGAAAACTAATAAATACAAAAACTGAGTACATCTTACTAAAAATAGTTTGACTGAATAATTTCCTTTACATTTAAGAGGAAACAACAATGTTGAAAACATGTATTTCCTATCCAAAGAATGCACTGTACTTGCTATTCCCTCATTAGCTGAAAAACTTTTGGGAATTGTGACTCAAGTCTGTAACACCAACAACTGACACAAGTCCTGGGTATATATAACTCAAGGTCCATTCTCAAAAAGGAAAAACAAAAACTATGAGGACAATAAAAATTATGATTTTACTTTCTCTTTATACTGTTATAATAAAGATTTTAAAGGAAAGTGACTAACAAAAATCAGAGTACTAAGTATGTTCATACAATGGAGTCAGCCAAGAGTAGGAATTTACAATACTAACTCAGAATCCTAAACACCAGTTTGGTTTCTTCCAACCCTCAGAAATTGTGATGAAGAAAAATACCTGACAAGCATTGTCAGATCTTATTAAGTAACTATATAATATATTAAGATATTAAACTATTAAAAATATTTTTTAGGCTGGAAGCACTGTAGGGTCCAAGAAAAATTGATCAGACCTAGCTCTATGTCAATCAACTATGTATCCAGATTTTTGCAACAGATGTGTGTGTGGTAAGTATGATGATATGTGAGTTCTAAAGGCTTTTCAAAGGGAAATCATGTTAAGTATTAGTTACATGTGACAGAACAAATCAGTGATCTATGCATAGCTGATTGGCCCTTCCTTTTTCTTCATCTGAATTACATCATCTAACATCTATGTCACATGGTGGACTGTCTACAAAGTTGGCTCAATAGTAAAGGATCTTGTCACCAAATATGCCTTTAATCACCTACACACATACAGATGCAGGAGAAAAAATTCCAGCAAGTTGTCCTGACCTCTACTTTCACACTTAGGTAGGTAGGAAAGTGGACAGACGGGTTGACAACTTAGAGAGATGGCTCAAAGGTTAGGACACTGGCTGCTCTTCCAGAGGTTCTGGGTTCAATTCTCAGCACCCACATGGTGGCTCAGAAGTATGTATCAAGACATCTGGAGCCCTCTTCTGGCATACAGGAAAGCATGCAGGCCAGTTCTCAACACAAAAATGAGGTGGCTTACAATCGCCTGTAACTCTAGCCAAAGTCCTCTTTACATGTATACCCCATAAGGGCAGGTACACAATTCAAAAATAAACATAAAAATAATTTTTGAAACTTGTGTTTAAGCAACTTTTATCCTAAAATGTATTTAAACCATTTTAAAATAATTGTTAATTGTTTTAAAACTTGAGAAAAGGCGAGAGAAAAACTAAGACAGAAAGACTAAGACCCAACCTAGAAAATAAGGCCAGCCCAGGTTAAAAAAACAAGTCCACTTTCCTAATGCTGCTACCCTTTAATAAAGTTCCTCATGTTGTGGTGACCCCCAAACAAAAAACTATTTTACTGGTACTACATAACTGTAATTTTGCTACTGCTATGAATTGCAATATAAATAACTGCTATTCAGGATATCTGATATGTATCCCCCCAAAGGGATCACCACACACAGCTTTGTCAGATCTTATTAAGTAACTATATAATGTTACTTAACCATTCATAGTCAAAAGAGGAAACACACAAGACAACAACACAAAGTTAGAACATGTTCAAAAAAGTAACTGTCCATCTTCTTCATGCAAGGTGACTGACTATATGAAGTGGGCAAAACACAACACAGTTTGAAAATAAGTGTTCCCACACTTCAAATGGAAAAAACCTACTTACCAGTTATAATCAAACCATGATGCATAGCTGGGAATAATGATGTGATTGGTCTGCTCTGTCACATTATCTTCTCCTGGATCAACTGACCGACTGGGATCACCTTTGTTAGGATCTTCATCCTCCTATAAAAAAATTGAAGTTAGTTCAGACAGAAGATTACAGACAAATCACACATATGATATTAGGTCAAATACAATGAAAACAGTAAATCCAATTTGAAGGACCAGCAGAACAATTCACAGGCACTGACATTTCTAAGTTTTAAAGGAATAAAAGCATTTACACCAAGGTTTACTTTTCCTTTAAACAAATAACATTCAAATTATCTAATAAAAGAAACAATGTTTTATAATCAAGAAATAATACATTTTCAAATCTTTTTTTCACAAGAACCCATTAATTTTTTTAAATTGTTACTTTAAGCATGTGCCAGCATGTATGTCTGTGGACCACTTTTACACAATGTCTAGATATTTCAGAAGAGGGTATCAGTTCCCTAAAGTTACAAACGGTTTTGAGCGCCACCATGTGGTGGTGGGAACCAAACCTGAGTACTCTGGAGTGTAACAAATGCTCCTGAACAGCTGTGTTGTCCCTGAAGCCCTTCACAATAGCTTCCTTTTATTCACACAATTTTATGACCACAAATCAATTACTAGTTTTTGTATTGTTTACAAAACAAGTAAAGATGTTAACAAAAGCATAAGATTGCTTCTACTACTAAATAAACATGAGAACCTACCACCCTATACACATTAGCTCATTTATGCCTCATAGTGATTTAAGAGTTACAATAGCACATACTTCTGTGGAAAAAGGAAAAACAAAACAAAAAAACAAAACAGAGCAGTAAGTCATAAGCGTAACAGGAATGGAGCTAAAGGAGCTGCTCATCATTGAGCCGCTTAAGTTTTGTGCTGAGTGTAATAGTAATAGCACACACATGTAATCCAAGCATTTGGAGAGGCAGGAGGATCTCTGTACAGGAGTTGATACCAGACTTGTTTATGCAGTGAGTTCAAAGACAACTAGGGCTACCATTCCCAAGTAGCTATAGAGGAAGGAGAGAACCAACTTCCCAACCCTTTCTCAAACAATTGCATACAAACACAACACACACATGGCCTGTGTTACATGATGAGACCCTGTTCCAATCCTAATGGATCAGATATCTAAGAGACTTTAAAATGAAATGATCCAAGTATCTCAAAAATTTCTTTTACTGATATCTCAGAGCAAAACCTGATCAGAGGTAACACATTAAATGTGACATTCACTTCCTTTAAGAGCCTTTGAATCATTGCTCTTTCTTTTGTGGCCATTTTGTAAATTATCCTTTTCTTATTATTTGGAATGGAAATTGTGTGAAGATAAGAGGTAACTAGAGCTGGTTTTCTCCTTATACCTTTACATGGGCTCAGAAGACTATACAGCAATTGCTTTTATTGGCTGAGACATCTCAGCATGCCTGACAATCCATTTCCAAAGATAGACCAACACTTAGAAAATATCTTAAAGCCTCCAATTGCCTATTCATGATTAGCATAAGCATACATACTAAAGATGCCAGGTATGGTGGCACGCACATTTAATCCCTTAACTTAGGAATCAGAATGATGTGTATGCTGTGAATATGTTTCTCTTATTGAGTGATAAATGAAGCTGTTCCTAGCACTAGGCAGGCAGAATTTAGGTAGGTAGGAATTCCAAACAAAGTCACAGGGAGAAAGAAAACACAGACTTCATGTAGCAGCCAGGGAGTCAAGGGACCCAGGCATCAACGGTAAGCCAAGGCCATGTGGAGATACATAGATTAATAAAAATGGGTTAATAAAAAAGAGCTAGTCAATAAGAAGCCTGAGTCATTGGCTAAACAACTATAATTCATAGTAAGACTCAGAGTGGTTATTTCATTAAGCAGCTGTGAGACCCAGTGGGTGGAGAGAAACCTGTCCAGTGGAACCAGGATAGATGGAGAAAATCTCTTTCTATAGCAGAGGCAAGAGAATTTTGAGTACTGGGGAAATGATCAACCTTAATTATGCATGTGTGTTTAAACATTGGGTATGAACTAAATATTCATGTGGATGTATGCATTTAGGTATGTAAAAGTATCCTCCTCTATCACTGTCAAGCTTATTTTAATAAATACGGAGGGCCTTCATTTGATTGTGTTGGCTTAAGCAATGAGCTCTGCGGACGATCACTGCTGCTTCCTCTCTAGGTACTACTGTGGGAACTAGAGCTCCACAATCAGGTCCTTATGCCTAAGTAGCAGGTACTGTACCAACAGAGGCATCTTTTCAGTAATCATATAATTTCTAACCCTATATAGTTCTTTTCTATTAAGAAATATCACCAAAGAAATATTTTGAGCTGGTTATCATAGATCATGCACTCAGGAATCAGAAACAAACAAATCTCTGTAAGTGAGAGGCCAGCCAGATCTACAAAGTGAGTTCCAGGATGGCTAGGACTTTACACAGAGAAACCCTGTCTTGAAAAACAGAAGCAAACAAATAAAAGAAGCCTCTACACCAGAACTGGTAAATGGAAAGTGAGTGATTAGAAAACTTGAGCGGGGAGAAAGAGATACCTTACCGGTAAAAGCACTTGGTCATCCTATGATGACCAGCACCCATATCAGGAAGCTCACAATGAATTCCAAAGGATCAAACATCTTCTTCTGTTTCCATGAGCAACCACACACACACAATGTGACACACTAATAGTTTTGTAAATAGGACTTTACAAAACTGGGCGGTGATGGTGCACTCCTTTAATCCAAGTACTCAGGAAGCCGAGAGCAGTAAATCTATGAGTTCAAGGCTTGTCTGATCTACAAAGTGAGTTCCAAGACAGGCTCCAAAGCAAAAGAGAAAATCCTGTCTCAAAAACAAAGTCTTTACAAAAATAAAGTCAGACCAGGTAGTGGTAGCCCCACACCTTTAATCCCAGCACTTGGGAGGCAGAGACCAGCTGATCTCGGTAAATTTGTGAGGACAGCCAGGGATGTTACACAGAAAAACCCAGTCTTCAAAAACCAGTAGGTAGGTAGGTAGGTAGGTAAAGTTAAAAGCATGATAAAAGTCTACACTTGCTGTAATCTACATTATGCCTGCACCAACAGAAAAATGACAAAAGCAAGGCAAGACAGGGTACACTACTCATCTCAAATTTACAGGCACACCAACAACAATGTAGCCAACTATGGTTACTACATTGTAAATAGGCGCATGACTCAACTTATACTGTATGAAGGTGACCCTTGAGAAGGGCAAAGTTCCTGTCTAATAAATCTTCATTACAAAGCAAAACTATTATCAGGGAATACTAAACAGTAAATTTAACTGATGTAGTAGCTAATGACAGCAATCCTGAAAGACACCCATGAGGTCCTAGGCCAAAGTCAGCTGAGCAATACTATGAAAATGTATCATAAAAAAAAAAAAAAAGAAAGAAAAGAAAAAGAAAAAAAGAAAAAGAAAAGCCCTAGGTTTAATATTACATGCACCTGATTTTAACTATGTAGGAGTCTGACTCAGCAGTCACTTAAGCCAAGAATCTGTACAGCCTGAACAAAACACTGAGACCATGTTCTGAATTTATTAGGGATCAGGTGGTAGGTGCTTACTCACTAACACACCAGTCACTCAGGGACAATCCCCGTTACCACATGAACCTGCCACAGCAGTATCCGCAGTCAGGAGGCAAAGGCCAGAGGATTCAAGAATATCCTCAGATACTGGACAGTGTGTGGCCACTCTGGAAATAGATAATTCAGTTTCTGCTCAGTGCACAAAACTAACAGAAAACTCTCAGCTCAGGCCTAAATGAACGTTTACCTTTCCTCCTGTTGTAACGGCTTCTTCATCCTGCTCATCTGCAAAATCAAAACAAGTTGTTTTAATAAGCACTCAATGGTATTAGGATTAACGTGGAATCTTTAAATTCTTCAAAACTGATTAACTGGACAGAGAAAATTAAGGACAGATCATTATTAACACAAATTCACAATAAGTAAATGATCATTTTAAACAAATGCATGGAGGTAGAAGGTCATATCAGCTTTTCAACAATGAACACTTCATAATTATTTTTAACAGTTATCATAATGTAGCATCACAATGGGATCTTGCTGATAACATGTGAGATCTGACTGAAGAACCAGTCTCCAAAGGATGGGTAAAGCAGGTGGTTTTGTTGCTTCCACAGAAAGGGAAGAGTGAAAGTATTAGCGAATAAACTGGACAAGCATGGTGACATAGGTCTAGTCCTAGGAGTACAGAAGAGGGAAGAAGAGTTTAAGGCCAGCCTGAGATATACAGCAAACTTTCAGCTTTAAAAAGCAGGAAAAAAAAAAAAAAAAAAAAACCCAGAAATACATGCTTTTTAAGGCCTAAGTGTTGATAATAAAAGAAAAAAAAAAAAAAACTATATATAAAATGCAACGAGGTACCTGAAGAGATGGCTCAACAGTAAAGAATATTTTGCTACTACTGCAAAGGACATAGGTTCAGTTCCCAGCTCTGAGATAGTGGCTCATGACACTCCATTAACCCCAGATCCAGGGGAATCTGTGCCCTTTCTAACAGCCAGGGGACTGAACACATACAGTTCATATCAATACACTCAATCAAAGCATCCATGAAAAACAATTATTATTATTATTATTATTATTATTATTTTAAATCTTACTAAAGACTGGAACAATGAACAGTAAAGAAATCATTTATAAAATCCCTTGAAATTTATAGGCCATAAAATGCAAAGGAAAAAATCCACAAACTATCTGATGTAGCCAGCCATGGTAGACTTAGGCAGACAGAAGTTGGCCAGCATCTTGTAGGCCAAGGCCAGTCTACAAAGTGAAATCTAGACCATTCAGGCTCAATAGTGAGACCTTGCCTAAAATAAACAACAAATGAGTAGACATAAAATAATATAAGCAGGGTGTTGGTGACACGCCTTTAGCGACACCACTTGGGAGGCAGAGGCAGGCAGATCTCTGTGAGTTTGAGGCCAGCCTGGTACAAAGTGAGTCTAGGACAGCCTCCAAAACTACACTGAGAAACTCTGACTCGAAAAAACAAAACAATGAAATAAATAAAAATAAACAAACCCTGTACATAAAAAGAACACTTTCAAAAAAACCACTGAGGATAAACACAGAAAAGAATCAAAACATGGGCTATGCCACTTAACATTAGAATACTTTGAAAGACGCATCTAAAATACTCTGGTCTCCATTTCACCTCAGCAAAGAAGTTTTATATTCTAACCAATAAAACATTCATTTCATTATTAAAACAGACCCAAGAGGGCTTAATAGTTTAAAGTATACACCTAATATCTAGAATTTAGCTACCCAGTACAGAAATGGACATCACTGATCTACAAAAATGTAACAGAGGTTTCAGGATGAGTACTTATGGTATGAAATACATCCCCAAAAAAGGACAGAAAAATGTGTTACCAGTTCTAAACTGGTTGCCTTCCACCAACTGTATAAAGGGTCATTCCAACAAGTGATTAATAACACACACTGTTCACAAACAAAAAAAGCACCCTTCTGGTTGTAGCCTCTGAGGGCAGGTGGTCACTGACAAGATTCCAGCCCAATATGCATGGGCCCAGGAGAGGAAAGAAACAACTCAGTTGGGGTCACTACAGTTCTCCTAAAACTGCCTTCTATTTAACTCTCTTAATAAAGTATGTCATAAACTGAGTAGCATGTAGGAGGCAGAGGCAGACAGAGCTCTGAGTTCAAGGCCAGCTTGATCTACAGAGTGAGTTATAGGACAGCAAGGGCTATACAGAGAAACCCTGTCTTTAAAAAATAAAAAACAAAACAAAAATAGTTAATAAAGTGTGTCACAAACACATTCTAAATAATTATCTCACTGAAAAATGGACATTTTTGTCCATTCATTTTCAAGAAATATACTTAAAAATTAGATGTTATGGGGTGATGGAGAACTATAATTAGAATGTAAAATGAAATTAAAGTAAATAAGAATACAAAGAAAAAAATTACATGTTACAGCCAGCCATAGCAGTACAGATGTTAATTCATCACTTGGGAGGCAGAAAGATCTTTGAGAGTTTAAAGCCAACTTTACAGAGTAAGTTCCAGAGCAGAGAGGGATATATAGACACCCTGACTGAAAAATAAATAAGAAAACTAAATTACAAAGTATTATCCTTGTTTGGAAGAATTTCACAATGAAGAGCATCCAGTTTTAAAACATTCTATACTGTCCATGCAACAGAAAGAAATAAACGGCTATTTGTAATTTTTTTTTTTTTCCTTTTGAATGAGCAATCATCACGTGTGATAGAGAAAACTGAATACACGGGGAACAAATAAGTTATTCAAAAGGAGCTAGAAACATCAGAGTATATCTGTTTACTGTCTTTGATAAGTTGACATCACAAATGCTCTGTTTAAACTTTAGACAATATTCTAGAAAAATGCATCAAATCATACCACTGGGGCGTAAGCCAAGAAGCAAGGCATGGATAAACGAAATAAAATGTAAAAAGGAGGTTGAGGAGAATTTTTTCTCAGTGGTAGTACCTGCCACAAAACTTCAGGATCAGTCACTGTACTTTCACAGTGAAACAACTACTGGTTGTCCTCTAATCTTAACACATTTGAGCTTGAAATCAAATCATACACACAATAATAAATAGACAGTGTTGGGGGAGATAAGGACCTTAGGCACAGGCTGGCCTGAAAATCATTATGTAGTTCAAGGCTGGCCTCAAACCCATGATGTATAGTGTGAATATTCACACACCCCTAACATACAATGCAAACATTTGCAGGGCTATGGTAAATAGAATTTTAATTAGAAATTAATCTCTGAAACTCATAATTATTTTCAAGTGAAAGTAAAATATTGCCAAGTTTTTGCTAGTTAGTGAGAAAATGCCATACACTGTCAGATGCAGAACACTGGGAATGCAGCTAATCTATGCCGATAGGAAACAGTACAGAAGGCAGGAAACAAAGCAAAGCAAAGTAACACTATGCAACAGAGAAAGCAGTGTTTAAGTAACAGAAATATTCAGGAAAGAAACATTTGTACATAGTTCTTTACCTAGGTCTGCCACCGTGCCGCCTTTAACAGGTGTATTTTCACTATCTTTCTTTGGGTTCACTAGAAGAAGAAAAGAAGCCATCAAAATCATGTTTTAGAAGAAACAGTCACACTGATTTAAAGAATGTAAGGTGAGGAGCTGGAAAGACAGCTAAGTAATTAAGAGCAAGATGCACAGGGTAACACCAATCCTAAGGGATCTGACACCCTCTTCCAGCTTCCTGGGGCCTGTGTGGTACACATACATGCAGAAACAGCAGCCATTAACATAAAGTAAGTAAAACAAAAAACAACATGGAAGAACATGATACATATGCATATCACTAAAACCCCTATATATTCTCTATTCACTTTCATATAAACACCACAAGCTTGGCTTTAAGACACTAACCTACAACCACACTCAAATAGCAGTATGTTTCTATTTTGCAAATGCAGAAAAGTTAATTTATCAACCCAAGATGCTTCAGCTCTTATCCCAAAGTTTTTGTGAATTAAGCGTTAGGATTTTTTTTTTCCTTTAACATTACTAATTTCCTCTTTTAAAAAGTTATTGGGCCAGATGATGGTGGCACACACCTTTAATCCCAGCACTTGGGAGGCAGAGGCAGGAGGACCTCAATGAGTTTGAGAACAGTCTATTCTACATGGCCAGTGTTCTACATGGCTAGTTCCAGGATAGCAAGAACTGTTACACAGAGAAACGCTGTTTTGAAGACCAGAGACTGGTCTTCACCTTTAAACCCAGCAGTATGGAAGGAGAAGCAGGCAGATCTCTGTGAATTCAGGGTTAGCCTGGTCTACAAAGTAAGTCCCAAGACATCCAAGGTCTTGGGACAGAGAAACCCTGTCTCAAAAGTAAAAGTGGCCAGATGGTGGTGGCACATACCTTTAATCCCAGCACTGGAGAGGCAGATACAGGCAGAAAACAACAAAAAATTGGGAGTATAAGACTGAAATTGATCTCAGAGTGTCATGTGCCAGACAAGCACTCTCCCACTGAACAATTATTCCCAGCTCTTTTAGTTTTAAAAACATAAAGACCAGGCTTACCTCAATTTCAAAATCCTCCTGCACAAGCTAAGCCAAAGGGCTTAGATTATAGGTTAACACGACTATACAAAGACAGTTTTAAATTCATGTGCCTGCTGTGTCTTTTCAAACACACACGCACACACAACTGGCCCATAAATAGAAGTTTTCATGTTGAAAGTTTAGAACTATATGATAGGGGCATAAGGGCACAACACTCAGGATGTGGACAGAGATGCAGGCAGATCTCTGTGAGTCTGGGGTAGCCTGAATGTACAAGGAGAACCAGGGCTATAGAGAGGTGCTATCTCAAAAAACTAAAAGGTAAGAATCCAGAACATGACATTACTTGTTCTAAGGTGAAATGATAGCAGACACTCAGTGCCATGCCGAAGCGCACCAACCGTTCTTAGGGAGAACCACCTCCTCTATATTGGGTACAGGTGTTGGGTCTTCCATGTCCTTGGTAAGATCTTCTTGCTCATCTTCTTCTTTCTGACTTCTACGCTTCCCATAAACACTAGCTTGTCTGATACAAACAGAACAGAAATTATACATACTTTTAACAAAATGTCAGAAGGTCTATTTAAATTTAGTATTGATTTGAAAATTACATTAAAAAAATAAACAAATTAGATACCTCACTAAAGTAACATCAAATGAGCAACAAACTCTAAGTGACTAGTTTAAGAAACGGGAGTCATCCAAATATTCTTGAGAACATAAAAGAAAATCTGCTAAGGAAACACAGCATTCGCTCAGCCTATATATGATAAAATGAAAAGGTTTATAAAACACGGACAGCTGTTATTTTCAGGACATATCATTTGAGTATTAAAAACTATCATGCTCCTTATGAAAACGGCCAGGGTTCTTTCTCTGAAAAGTTACCATTTGTTAAACTAGTAATATTCTTGAGAATTAAAATATGAAACGAGGCAAGACTATCTCAACATGCACGCACCAAGAAAATACGGAACAGGAAAAGAGAAGAACCTGGAGGCAGGAACTAATACAGACAGCATGGAGAAGTGTGGCTTACTAGCTGGTTAAAGGAGCGCTCCTACATCATCAATTAAGGATGACTGCTCACAGGGATATCTGGTAGTTTTCTTAATTGAGGTTTCTTCTTCTCAAAGGACTCTAGTTTGTTTCACACAGAGGCAGGTAGATGATTGTAAATTTGAGGCCAGCCTGTTTATAGAGCATGGTCCAAGACAGACAAGACTAGATAGATAACCTACCTCAAAATAAAAGAAACTTAATAAAGCATAGTGGTGGGGATACAAGCCTTCAATCCCAGAATCTGGTAGGCAGAAGCAGGCTATGCTCTGATTTCAAGGGCAGCCTTGTCTACAGCATGAGTTCAAGAACAATCAGAGGCTACACAGAGACATTCTGTCTTGAAAAATCAACCAACCAACCAACCACCAACCAAATATATGTAGGTGTGTTAAAATAGGCAAGTCTGAAATTATCAAATATCTATTTATGATGACAGAATTATCAAATATTATCTATAATTTAAGTATAAAGTCCAAGCACTGTATAAGGAATTGAAGTTACATTTTATATTGTCAGCAATTAATTCAATAGAAATAAAAATTGTCACTGGGTGGTGGTGCACACTTGGAAGACAGAAAAGGGTGGACCTGAGGTCAATGGTAACCTGGTCTACAAAGTGAGTTCCAGGACAGATAGGACTACACAGAAAAACCTTTTCTTGAAAAACCAAAATAAAAAAATAAAATTAACTTAAAAAAAAAAAAAAAAGAAAAAGAAAGCACATATAGTTATGTCCTAAAGAAAAAGCCCATATTGTCATTTAAACCAGACTGTTAGGTTTGTCAGAATACCCAACAACTCAACAGTTACACAGGTTCTAACTATCAGTCAATTTAATCACAAATGGGAGAGGCGGTCAAATGCAATAACTATGGTGTGTCTTGGGAAATAAGCCCAGGCTATCCTAGAACATGCTTTGTAGACAAGTCTGCACACATGAATCAGGATATGACTGATTCTAATTCGTTTTTGCAAAGACAGAATTTCTCTGTGTAGTTCTGCGTGTCCTGGAACTCACTTGGAACACCACGCTAGCCTTAAACTCAGGGATCCACCTGGCTCTGCCTCCCAAGGGCTTTGACTAAAGGCACGCGTCACCACACCCCACCTCAAGACATGATTTCTAAAACTCCTACCTTCCCACCTTTTCAGTATCCAGAAAAGACTGGATTTAATGTGTTCACCTAGAGATCCATTCAAAGTTTCACTAACTTCCAAACATGCTAAAAGCATCTTACCCTTTCTTCCCACTCTTCTTCCTGGATTCTGTAGGTGTAGGAGGGGGAGGTGAAGGGGAATGTTTCCTCTTTCGTGCATTAGCTGATGCTTTTCTATCTCTCCTCTCTGGACTTCTGACTGGCTAGGAAGAAGTAATGAAAACAAGTATCAGACAACTTTGTCAATTCCTGTTTCTACAAACCCATGTCAATGGTAAGTTTCCATACACTACAATACCTACTGGAAAGAGGAAATGAAGCCACCACATTAAACACCAACAGCACCAAAATTATAGTTATCGCATAGCAACAAAAATAATTTTATGGTTGGGGATTCCAACAACATGATGAAGATATAGAAAGGGTTGGAGCATTAGGAAGATTAAGAGCCACTGCAGTAGACAATATATCAAAACTGAAATGCATAACTGCTTTGTTACATTCATTGTATTTTTAAAACTTTTTATAGCAAAAACATTCTTGTCATGCTCAGAGATTCACCTGCCTCTGCCTCCCCTATACGGGGATTAAAGGTGTGTTCCATCCCTGTCCAGCTGATACTTTTGACAGGATCAATAGACTCTGTAATTTCTCTGTTCAGTAGTATGTTTCATTTTTATTAGCAGTTACTGAAATGCTTACTGACAAATCCTACTCTAGTTGACATATGTAGCCCACAAGCTGTGACAGGACCTCACTATGTAACTGTGGTTAGCTTGGAAGCCCACTGATCTGCAGCCTCTGCCTCCTGAGTGCAGGGGTTTAAAGCACACAAAACCATTCATGGCACAAACAGTGTTTCTAATGGAATGAGTATAAATACCCAAAAATCTGAACTCCATTTAATCAGAATTTTTTTTAGGTTAGCATATGAAGTAGTAATTTGCATTGTGGCATCTTCATATAAATAAGAACCTGGACTTAATAGTAAATTAAAGAATGTTAAATGACAAATTCCATATTCTCAGAACACTGCAGCATTTTGGAAGGGGAGGGGGAGTTTCTCTGTAGCTATGGAGCCTGTCTTAGAACTTATTCTGCAGACCAGGGTGGCCTTGAATACAGAGAGAGATCTGTGTGCCTCAGCCTCCCAAGTGCAGGTATTAAAGGCATATACCACTACTGCCCAACCACTGCCAGCATTTTAAGACTAGTATTTTTGTAGTATTTGGTATGCACTGAAGTTACTGAAATATATTAAATTGGTTTTCCTATGGGAAACTGGTAGATACATTAGACTATGATATTATTTAATAATGTGAAAGTTACTATTACTTTGTTGGCTAAATTCTAAGATGCATTTAAAAATTAAAACACAGGCCTGGTATCCACATGACAGATCAAAACTGTATGTAACTCATGTTCCAGGGCACCCTCATGCAGACAGACATGCAAGCAAAACAATGCATACAAAGCAAAAATAAATAAAGAGTAACTACTTAGGCTGGTGAGAAGGGTCAGAAGGGAAGACGACCAGGTGCTCTTCCAGGGGATCAAGGCTTGATTCCCAGCACCCACAAACTATCTTCAAAGCTCCAAGTCTTCTGGCATCCACAGATACCATACATACACAACACAGTGCACATACATATGTAGCATTGTGAAAGATTTTAGTTTGCAGAGCAAGGATGTGGTAAAAGGGAAGGAAAATAGTTCTTGCAAAATATAGAAAATCACAAAGAACAGACGCTGACATATGTGGAAACATCAGGAATTATGAGAATAATAAAGTTACTATGGTGATGGTGCTAGTGGTTATATGCTAGACTGATCTTGTTAAATATGGCTAGTTACAGCCAAGAGAAAGCCAGAGTATGAAAAAAAGGTTCTCACAGGTCTTGGCCGACAACAAGGAAACAGGCCCCCAACCCTGGAACAAATGGTCCCAGATAAAACAGCCCTGTCTGGGTCACACCTGGCCAATGGACAGTCTAGGGACTTTCCAAGTCATTCTATGGTTTTTCCTCTAAAGAAGAACAGGTTACACCTGGGTGATCTCTCAAACATGAGATCATACTTTGTAATCAATTACCTTGTGCCCCATGCATGAATGCTGATTTGCAGTTTGTCTCTATAAAAAGGAGCCTGAACCTTTTGAGGGGTGTGCAGCTTTCCCTAAGACTGCTGACACCCGAGTGCATTCGTTCAACAAACACCTCTTGCTTTGTTGCATCTCCTGGTTTTGGTGTTTGTGTTGCTGGGCTCTCCCGTCGGCCCATCAGGACCCCCAGAATTAGGGTCTAACAATTGTATATAGAATTATCATACTATCTTGACCCATTTTAAATTTTAGAGACTCAATTTCCATTCATCTGTCAAGATGACAACAAATGGCTATTAATAATGACTCAGTAACTTGCACAGGTACACTTTAGGTGGATGTGGCAGTTTATAAGAAAACATTTAGAACAAAAAAGAAAAGGCAACCACAGTCAAGAAATAGTCCCAAAATAAGTACCTCTTCATTCTTTGTTGAAATTCGCTGACGAAAACTGACTGGTTTCCTATTCTCATCTACTTCATAATCCTCTTCATTCATCCACTCATTGAAAACGTCCGTGTCCAAAATCCATTTTACATGAACCTGAAACCACATCAAATGGGCACAATTAGAATTTGACACTAGAGTTTTTCTTCCTCTTAGTCATACCTCAGGTCACAGAGGAGAGAGGGATGTAGTGCTTGGTGACAATGAGCCAACAACTAGCAATTCAAACTCTAGAGGCTTCTTTGAACACTGAAAGCAAGCTGTAATATAGTAGCTAATAGTAGACAAGTTGAGCATCTGTTTCAGAACTTTCCCCAGGTACACAAATGTTTGCCTCCTCTTTGTAGAACATGAACAATAAACCAGTACAATCCTACCAAATCTGAACTCAGGAAACCAAGCTACACCAAGAAATTCTCACAGCATAGCTGCAAAAGGGGTTTCCCTTCTGCTAACCTTCTAGTCTATATACTCTCAGGATCATGAGGCCATGTCCAATTTGGACAAGATTAGATACAGAAAGCTAAGAGATACAATAGAACCTCCAGAATCTAGGTGAGGGTTCAATGAACCTCCCAGATACCTACCTATAAAGGAAGGACAATAGACAAGTGGTCTGATCATGGGTGTGGTCAAAGCTGGTTTGACGCATAGTGCTTCCTAACAACATTTTGATGATATAAGACACATATTGTTTTTCATTTTGTCGCTGTCCTTTGTTTTTAAGACAGGGTACCTCCTCTGTGTAGCCCTGGCTGGTCTCAAACTCTGAATGTGAACAACCTTCCTTAACCACAGAATTCCACCGGCCTCTGCCTTAGTACTGGAATTAAATCTGTGCAGCACTAAGCCCAGCAACTATTCAGTATTTTAAAAGGGGAGAAACAGACAGGATAAAGCATGAGCCATGGGTGATTCAAGGTCACCTGCTATGCCTGTTGTTCTAAAAGCACACCTAAAGCCTAAAATGGCTTCACAAAGGAAGGTGAGGCATTTAAAGGGAAAAACTGATACTGACAACAACGTAATGAACTTGGATAAAATGGAGACACCAAAACAGACCAGATACACAATGCTTAAGGTGCAGGAGAGGCCAGGAGGAGATGTGCATTTTCTGGTAACTGTGATAACTACACATTTTAAAATACTGATTTTTTTTTTTTTTTTTTTTTTTTTTTTTTGGTTTTGTTTTGTTATGTAGTGCTCTGCCTGCATTTACATCTGTATGCCAAAAGAGGGCACCAGATCTCATTATAAATGGTTGTAAGTCACAATGTGATTACTGGGAACTGAACTCAGAACCTCTGGAAGTGTTCTTTTCTTAACTAATGTAATGAGCTGTCTCTCTGGCCCCGGAAATCATGTCTTTTAGCTGGGCTGTGGGGGTGCACGCCTTTAATCCCAGCACTCAGGAGGCAGAGGCAGGTGGATCTTTTTGAGTACGAAGAGCGGGATACAGAGTGAATGCCAGGACAGACTCCAAAGCCACATAGCAAAACCCTGTCTGGAAAAACTGAGGGAAAAAAGAAAAGAAAATCTAGCCTTTTATTTTTTCCAGACTGGATTTCTTTGTGTAGTCCTTGCTGTCCTAGAACTTGCTCTGCAGACCAGGATGGCATCAAACTGAATACTTCTACCTCAAGAGATAGGGTAAAAGGTGTGTACCATCACTGCACAGTCCTCAAATTGTGTTTTTTAAAAAATAAATTTTGCTCTACATTTGTTTTTTGTTTTTACAGACTAGGTTTCTATGTACCCATTTTAGCTGTCCTGGAGCTAGCACTATAGATTAGGCTGGCCTCGAACCCACAGATATGCCTACCTCTGCCCACCAAATGCTGGGATTATAGGCGTAAACAACCATGGCCTGCTGAATTTTGCTCTCCTTTTAAAAGGCTAGTTTAACAAAGTTGCTTCCTGGGGGAAAGAACATAGCCAAGGCTGAACTGTGTGAACAAAAGCCCCTTTTACTGATACTTTGGAAAACATCTCTTACTGGCAGTGGTGGAGCACACCTTCAATCCCAGCACTCAGGAAGCAGAGGAAGGTGGATCTCTGTGAGTTCCAGGACAGCCAGGGATACACAGCGAAACCCCAACTTGAGAAAAACCAATGAAACAAAACAAAAAGGTTACGTGGGGTTTTAATTTCAGAGTGATATTTGTCCACAATGGTGGTGACATCATGGCGGGAGGAACACAAAATTGAGAGAAGTTACTGATTCAAGGCCCCCACTCATGGTGAACTTTATTTTACAACATACATTTCTCATACTCTGAATTGGCTTTGGATTCTCCTTAAAAACTGCCCACATGAACTCCTAAAGCCTTGAAACTATGTAATCAGGGACATAGATACTCTCTTGAAGCAAGGACATATATATCTCTTTTTAAAAAACATTGTTGCAGGGTAGGCATGGGCTCACTCCTGTAATCTCTCAAGACTAAGTAAGGCAAGATGATCATTCTTCTTTAAAGACCTATTACCTTCCATGGCTTTTCTGCAATTGGTGGATCTTCAATTTCAGCGTCAACATCATTACAGTGGACCCAAGTGTCATAGCTAAAGCAAATTACAAACAAAAACAAAATTAAGAGCCAGTCTATATGATAAAAAGACGACTAAAAAACTAAGAATGCATTAATAAAATATTATTAGGAGGCTGGGTGGTGGTGGTACACGCCTTTGATCCCAGCACTCGGGAAGCAGAGACAGATAGGATCTTTGTGAGTTTGAGACCAGCCTGATCTACAAGAGCTAGTTCCAGGACAGCCTCCAAAGCCACAGAGAAACCCTGTCCAAAAAACACACACAAAAAAACAGAAAACCAAGCAACACTGAAATCAAGCTTTTGTATGATAGCTTGGAATTGACATGGATTTGCCTGCCATGTCTCCCAAATGCTGGGTCAGCAGTTTTCTAAACTCAGTATTTGTTGTGTGTACACATATATACATACACATACTCAACAAATTTTCCCAGAATGGTTAAATGCAAGATGGGGGGTAGTCTTGGATAGCTAAGTAAATATACTAAGCAAAGATTACTATAATGTGGGGGCATAATTTTATATTCTTCAAAAGTTTAGATTATAAATTATAACACAAGTGGCTTTCAGAACAGGTTATAGGAACAAAAATACAAGACAGGACCTATACATCTCTATATGTTGATATCTTATGATCTAACAAAGCTTGCCTGAAAATCAGAGTACAAAGCCAGCCATACTAGTTAGCCCTAGTGGCGAGGTAGTGGTGGCACACACCTTTAATCCCACAGAGGCAAACAGATATGTTAATTTAAGGCCACCCTGAGCTACTCAAAAAATTGATCCAGCCCAAAACAGAAACAGAGCTCACACGAGGATGACCACAGCACTTGGGATCCCACGCCTTTCATTCCAGCACTAGAGAGGAACGTAAGGGAGGAGACAGGTGCTCAGTGCAGTCTGAGGTTTGGTGGAGACAGAGATACAGTCTGGAGATAATCTGAGGACAGCATCGCCCCTTAGGTCTGAGCATTGGAAGAGGTTACGAACTCTCTAGTGGCTGCTAGTGACTGGCGGCTTTGCTTCTCTGATTTTCAGCTTTAACCCCAGTTATCTGTCTGTGGGATTTTATTATTAATACATCTATACATTAGTCATTTGATACTGAGTAACTGCAGAACAGGTATTGTAACAGGTAGAGGGAACAACTTATGAGAGAAAAGATTGTTTTTTGGCATTAGCTTTAGAGTTCGGTCCATAATCATATGGATGGCATGATAGACTTCAATGCAGCTGAGTATGTCATAGAGGCTTGGTCAACAGAACAAAACAGGAAAAGAGAACCAGGTAGAAACCAGGGGCAGCCACAACCTTCCAATGAGCATGAACCACCCAGTTCCTAAGGGATCCCTTGAGCTTACAACCACAACACATACTTTGGACCAAGTATCTGTCAAAACATGAAACTGTGGAGAACATCTCAGATTAATATTCATAAAAACTGTCAATCCTAGAGTCACATAGTTTGCCATAAATTTGAAACACAACTTAGGTGTTTCAAAGAACAAGCAGCTTTTCTCCAATAGCTACAATGGTATTGAAAGGCTTTTCAAAAGAGTGGTGACACTAGGCTTCAAGGCAGGTAGCTCTCTAAATTCAAAGACAACAAAGCGAGTTCCAGGACAGCCAAACCTACACAGAGAAAACATGTCAGGAAAAACTGAAACAATACAAAAATGTGTTGCAAGTACTAACCTAAAGATGTATACTTTAAGTACATAAGGCAATTACCCAAATTTTACTGTTAATATTACAATATTTTCTCAATTAAAAACATAAATTACAGAACACAATAAATGGATTATCAATTTCACTTCATTAACCCAAAGTATATTTAAAAACAACCAACACATGCTAAGCATAGTAGCTTAGCCTGTGATCCCAGCAATTAGGAGACTGAGGTAGAAAAGTCCTTAGTTCAAGGGCAGCCTGAGCTATATATGGAAGACCTGCCTCAAAAACAGAAGACTAAGCATACATTGTTAAAATTCGACATAACTAATTTACATTTTCTTTACTTTAAAATGTAATTATGTCAGATACAATGATACACGACTACTATTCCAGCTACTTGGGAGATGTAAAGGGAATAAGCCATCACCAAATATTTCAAAATCAAGACCACGCAATCAAAAAGTCAGGGAGAATTATAGAATAGGCAAGAGAGACAAGAGGCAAGGACAGAGGATTGCATGCCTATAATCCCAGCAGTCATACTGGGTTAGGCAAAAGGGCAGCAGATTGAAAGCTTTTCTGCATACTGAGATACTATTTCAAACCAAAACGGAAAGCCAACGGGAAAAGAAGTAACCAGGTAATTTCTGACAAGAAGAATATCAGGATTAGATATCATTTCATTCATAATATTTTGACATGCATAGTTTTTTCTTTGTTTTTCGAGAAAGGGTTACTCTGTATTGCTTTGGAGCCTGTCAAGGAACTAGCTCCATAGACCAGGCTGGCCTTGAACTCAGAGATCTTCCTGCCTCTGCCTCCCTAGCTCTGGGATTAAAGAAAGGTGTGTGCCACCACGCCCAGCTGACATAAATCTTTATACCAGAGCATACATACAGGAATTGCCTATGTGGAGAAAAGATCCAAAGGCTCCAAATACAAAGTAATGGAAAAGAAATAAAAACATGGGGGCTGGAGAGATGGCTAAGGTTTTGAGAGCAATAGCTGCTCTTCCAGATGACCTGGGTCTTCCAGCAACCACGTAGCAACTCCCAATTATCTGTAACTCCAATACCATGGAATCTGACACTCTCACACAGACATATATACAGGCAATACACCAATACACATAAAAATAAATAAATCTTAAAACAATAAAAATATGAATTGCCCCAATTTTTTCAGTACAATATGTACAGCTGTATTAGAATGTAATATTACATTTCATAAATGTTCAATGTTTTTAATACATAAAAGATGAAGTTGGTTCTGTGGTAAATTACTAACCCTTAGTGTTAAGACCTAAGTTTAATCCTCACCCACCCATCCAAAATAAAGAAAATAGAGAATAAAGGGTGCAGGCAACAACAAACATTTTAACATTTTAATGAAAGACAAGGCTGGGTGCTCTTGGCACTCGCCTTTAATCCCAGCACTTGAACAGCAGCAGCAGGCGTGTACGTGAATTCCAGGCCAGCCATGTCTACAGACAAAATTCTATGATAGCCAGGAAAGCCCTGTCTCAAAAAGATTATGTATCAGAGAGTGCTTTATATTTTTAATAGTTACCTTTTTCACGGTTGCTTGGCCTACTACTATATGCAACAGAACTGCTAATAAATTTCATACTAATGTCCCGCAGGCACATGCTGTTTGATCAAGATAATTATGAGCAATTAAGGAAACAGTGTTAGAAAATAGGCTGGGTGTTGGTGGCTCAGTCAGTTTTTAATCCCAGCACTTGGGAGGCAGAGTTCCAAGAAAGGCTCCAAACCTACACAGAGAAATACTGACTTGAAAAACAAAAAAAGGACAGGAGGGAGGGAGGAGGGACGGACAAACTTACTTACCTGTCTGGGTGAAAGCCCCAGTGTACCAACACCTGCTTGTCTTTTCTCATCACTGGTCTCAACCACTCTTCTGAAAGAAGGAAAAACTTTATTTCAGTTTTGGTATTTTCATGAAACATAAAATACAAAATGAATTTACTAAGAATTTTGAGGAAAACATTTAATTTTATGCATGGGCATACTCTTGAGTGTCATGTACACGTGTGTGTAAAAGACCAAATGGAGGTGAGCTGTCAGATGCCCTGGCACCACAGTCACATAAGACAGCTGATGGCATATGGGTGGTGGGAACATAACTCTGGTCCTTTGCAAAAGCAGTTAGGGCACTAAATATTGAGTCATCTCTCTAGCTCTAAATTTTAAGTTTTCAAACTGAAAGGCATTTAGCAGATTAAAAATCTGGAACTAGGGCATAGCCAGTCAACAAAGTACTAGTCACCAAAACGTGAGGACCAAGTTTAGATCCCAGCAGTCCAATAAAAAGCTAGGAGGCTGGAGAGCTGGTGCAGCAGTCTATAACACAGGTTGATTTTACAGACAGAAAACCCAGGATTGATTTCTAGCACCTGTAATGTGTCTCAACCATCTGTAACCCCAATTCCAGGGAATCCAACAAGCAAACACAAGGCACACATAATTTCATGCAGGCAAAACATTCAGACACACAGAGTAAAATTAATTGATCTAAAAAGTAATAATAACAAAGCCGAAGCTGGAGGTGTGCACATGCATCTCCAGCATTAGCTGAATGGACACAGTCGAATCACTGAAGCTCCCTGGCAGCTGGTGTGGCCAACTAAAAAGGAGCTAGAAATTCATTAAATGATTCGAAAAACAAGGCGAAGGGGCTGGAGAGACTGGGGGCAAGCGAGAACAGAATGTGCAGAAGATCTAAGAGTTCATTTCCAGGCACTCACATCGGAAGCTCACAAACAAACAACCCTACATAATTCCAGCTTCAGGGGACATGACACTTTCTGACCTCTGAGGGCACCTATATATACATGCACATATTCCCATACACACATAGACAAGTGAAAATAAATCTTAAGGGTCAGGAAATGGTGGCTCAGGCCTTTATCTAAGCACTTGAGAGGAAGAGACATTTGGGTCTCTGAGTTGCAAGTCAGCCTGGTTTACAGAACAAAATTACAGCCAAAATTACAAAGAAACCCTATCTCAAAAACACCAAAATGAGTATAAATAAATCTTTTTTAAAAAGTAGAAAGTGGCTGGGTAGTGGTGGCGCATGCCTTTGATCTCAGCACTTGGGAGGCAGAAGCAAGTGGATCTCTAAGACCAGCCTGGTCTACAAGAACTAGTTCCAGAACTGCCTCCAAAACCACAGAGAAACCCATCTTTAAAAAAAAGAAGAAAAAGAAAAAAAGTAGAAGTGATCAAGAAAGACACTCAGTGCCTATCTCTTACTGTGTGTGCACCAGCAACTTCCTCATGTGCTCCTATTATAGGTCTAAAAGCAATAGACAAACTAAACACAAACAAAATGTGTATGTTGGTTGTCTCTTTCTGTCTTATGGATCTCCAGCATTGAACTCAGGTCAACAGCCTTGGCAACAAATGCCTGAACCACCTCCAACCAAGATCTGGGTTTTCGAAAACTAGCAAAAATTGCCTTAGAAATACTAAATCTAACTTCACAAATTATACTGCTTTACGTGTTGGCTTTTCTTGACTGTTAGTCATATGTCTTTAGCATAAATCTTATGTACAAAGACTCTGAATTTATATGTCTGCATAATTACTTTTACTATTATAAAGTTTTTCACAGGCTTCACTGCAAAAACTTCTACCTGAATCAGCTCTGATGATGATGGCTATCTTTTTGTTACTTTCCCTTCTAAAGGGACATATATTTGAAGATAGATTCAATATTCCTGAAGCAATCTTTACAAAATGGTCCAGGTGTTGGAAGGCATTTGCAGCCAAGACTTGACATGAGTGTGATTACAGAAATCCACACAGGAGGAAAAGAAAACCAACTTCCACAAGATATCCTCTGATATTTACAAGTCTAAAAGTGGTATGTACACATCCACATACAAATATAAAGAGAAGTCCAGAGTTGTCTTCTGACCCATGCACTCACAAACACATGTGTATATAATAAATATAAACATTTTTTTTTTTCTAGGCAGGGTCCCTCTGTAGTCCTGGCTGGCTTCAAACTCAGTAATCATCTGTCTCTGCTTCTCAAATGCTGGGCATACAGCACCATGCCCAGCTATAAATCAATATTTTAAATGAAAAACCAAAAAATAATTAAAGGAAAGGATATAGATTGTATATCATTAGGTTTGCAGAAAGGAACCACTAAATGGGAATACTAAAGAGTAGAATGTTTTCCCCTATACAAAATGTCACACAAATGAAGAAATGTGGGGTTTGTTTGTTTGTTTGTTTGCAATGTTTCAAGCCAGGCTTGGTGGCACACACCTTTAATCTAGCATGAAGAAGGCAGAGGCAGGTAGAACTATGTGAGTTCCAGCCAGCTTGGTCTTCAAAGTAAGTTCCAGGGTAGCCAGGGCTGTTACACAGAGAAACTGTATCCCTCTCCCAGCCAAAAAGTGAGGGAGGGAGGGAAGGTAGGTGTGTGTGTGTGTGTGTGTGTGTGTGTGTGTGTGTGAGAGAGAGAGAGAGAGAGAGAGAGAGAGAGAGAGAGAGAGAGAGAGAACTAGAGTTGGGACAAGACTTGAAACAATTCTTTAAAAAAAAAAAAAAAAACTCAAAAAACCTAAGCCAGTCAGGGCTGAGTTCAAAGGCCACTAGAGAACTCTAGTTGCTCTGTGTCAAAAAAACAAAACTAAACATAACAAAACCAAGTCAACAGTGGCTAGAGTGGTTAAAAGCATTGGCTGTTTTTCCAGGACTCAGGTTAGATTTCCAGAACCCATAATGTGGCTGACAACCCTCTGTGACTGCAGTCCTAGAGGAACAGATAGCTCTTACAGATGTTGCAGGCACATGTTATATAGACACACACACACACACACACACACACACACACACACACACACACACACAGGCAAAACACATTTAAAAAAGAAAAGAAACAAAGCAGAATTTTTAGTCTATGAAATACATTACATGAGAGGAATTCAAACCTACCTTTGAAAGAACTTGGGGAAAGGGACACTACAAAAAAACACTAGTAAGCAAAAAACAAAATGAAAATTTATGCCTGGCACAAGACTTTTATCCCAGCCCTCAAAAGGAAGAGGCAAGTGGATTGCTGATTCTAGGCCAGGCTGGTCTACAGAGCTAATTCCAAGACAGCCAGGAATACACAGAGAAACCCTGTCTTGAAATCACCACCACTCCCACAAAAAAGAAAAGGAAAATTGAAATAGCAAGTTCCAGGAGAGCTAGGTTACATAAAGCAACCCTGTCATATAAAAGACAGAAAACTAAAAGTACAAAAAAATAAATAATAAACCTAAAGTATTAAGGAACAGAGAAGACAATCAATGAACTTAAAAATCAACTTAAAACAGATGTCCTCAAACACAAGATGAGAGAAGTTAATGACAGAAAACAGCATTTGGGAGGTTGAGGCAGAGTTTCGATTCAAACCAGCCTGAGTATGAACTACACTGTGAGCTCCTAAAGGAAAAAGAAAAATCCTCATCACTTTAATGTTAACAGTGAATGTTCAAATGTGACAGGCTCAGGCAATACATTTCTTGCCTCCAAGGCAACTGACTCAAGTTTGAATCACAGGACCCTACACACAGAAGAAAACCAATTCACACAAGTTGTCCTCTGATCCTCTTCCTCGACAACAGCTGAACAGCTGGTGATGTAACTCAGTGAGTAATGAATCCCATCCCCAACACCAAATAAAACTGGATGTGATACAGTCAGCATTCAGTAAGTGAAGGCATGAAGGGCTCAATGTTAAGATCATCCTTGGCTACAGAGAACTTCAAGGCCAACCTGGGCTATATGGAATCCTGCCTCAATTTACACAGATATCAAACTACAACTTTACCCAACCAGTTTTTGGTTTGGTTTTTCCAGACAGGATTTCTCTGAAGCCCTAGCTGTGCTTCTCTTGTAGACCAGGTTGGCCATGACTTCGGAGATCCGCCTGTCTCTGCCTCACGAGTGCTGGGATTAAAGGTGTGCACCACCACTGCTGGACTAGTTTCTTCTTATTGAACTCTGTGACAATCAACAAGTAGTCACACGCTTCACATATCCCTGTATTTGTAGCAGGTCACAGCAACAAAAATCAACAGTGTATAAGATAAAATGGCCGCTCAAATCACCAGATAAAAATTGCTACATTATGGTCTGTACACCATGGAGAGATGGCTCAGAGATTACGAGCACTGGCTGCTCCTCCAGAGATCCTGAATTCAATTCCCGTGGACCACATGGTGGCTAACAGCCATTTATATTGAGACCTGGTACCGTCTTGGAGTGCAGACATACATGCAGGCAGAACATATATAATAATAAAATGGTGATATATTACTTATGAATTATTAAAGCTTGCCTGCGGATTCAGAAAGCAAAGTCAGCCACAAGCCATAGATACCAGAGGCATACACCTTTAATCCCAAGATTCAGGATAAGAGGTAGATGGAGCTGTTAGTTCAAGGCCACACTGACTACACAAGATTGATCCTTGCTAAGAGAAACAGCTCACACAAAGATGATCTCAGCACTTGGTATCACATAGCTTTAATCCCAGCACTAGAGAAGTATAAAAGATAAGAGCAGGTTCTTCAGTTGGCTCAGTCTCAGATTCTCTCCAGCCATACTGAGGAGAGACAGCAGTTTGAGGCTTGGTGAAGAGCTCGCTTAGATCAGCACTTATCAGCATAAGTTAGAGGTGAAAGCTACTGGCTGGCTGTTTTGCTTTTCTGATCTTCAGCTTGAAGTTTGAACCCCAATATTTGTCTCTGGGTCTTTTATTTCACATGCAACAGTAAATAAATCTTAAAAATTGCTAACAGGTTAGAGCACAGAGAAGCACGGGTAAATCTCACTTTCTAAAAGAATCTAGTGATATACTCAGAATACTTGAGGAGTGGGGACAAATGATACATTAAACAAAAGAACTCTGTTTTAATGATAGAGTATTTAGCCATTTTTTAGAAGAAGGCTACATTATTTACACACAATACAGTGTATGAGTTAAATAACTCCTAACCAAAAGCTAACTTACCATCCTCTTGTGAAGAAGGACATGGATAAACATGGTGGGAAGCTTTTGATTTCTCATCAGTAAATGTCCCCTGCAAAGCAAACAAACAAAGAATATACAAATAAGGCACATGGCAAGCAAACTATTAGCTGATAGAGGCAAATTCTCCAAAAGAACTGGTTTTTAAAGTCACTTTTAGTAGAGAAAAGAAATAGTGGTTAACAACAGAAAATATTATTTACACATATGCAAGTAAGGGCTGAATATTCTTTATCCAAAATGCTTTTTTACCTCAAGTGTTTCAAGTTTCAGAGTTTTTCAGATTTGGGAATATTTACATAGATTATATCAACTACCATTAATCCAAACCCGAGAAATTCTCTTAAAGAAACAAGTCAAACTTTTTTAGGAATATGTTAGCATTCAAAATGTTAAGAGTTTCTTCGCATACCCGAAGTTCTTAAAATTATTTCAAAGCCATCATAAAAAATGACTGTGGGAATGCAACAACATAAGGGTAATGGTAATATGTTATTAATTCACCTTGCAAACTTACACAGTTTTAGCTAAACCTTTAACATGAGAACTTGGGAAACAGGAAGCCAAAGAAGTGAATGTCATCCTGCAACACACTAAATTTGAAGCTGGTCTAGCTACTTGAGACTGCCTTACTAAAACAATAAAACAAAAAGCCCCAGGTTTCAAATATGTAGGCTAGGATGGTCTCAAATTCTTCATCCTCTTACCTAAGCCTCCAGCATGAATCATCATTATTAAATGGCATGAATTTTGGCATGTACACTGATGCTACATCAATAACACATGGGACGGCTGAATTAAGCAGTGTACACTGCTATCATTGTACACCAATGGTTGAAAACTACTATAAAAATTACGGCTAAACTGTCTAGGCCAAAGAATACTAAATATGTAAAAGATCAACGCAAGTCCATTTAAACCAACAACTGCTTATTCTTGAGACCATACAAACAAGGGAAGGTCATGCATTCAGGTTGAAGTTGCAACTCAAGGCGCCTTCTGCATTTCTCCTTTAACAATGATTACTTATTCCAATCCAATAAACATAATGCCACTTCATCTGCAGAAAACTAGAAATGTAGCCAGGAGGTAGTGGCACACACCTTTAATCCCAGAACTCAGGAGGCACAGGCAGGTGGATCTCTTTGAGTTGGAGGCCAGCCTGGTCTACAGAGCAAGTTCAGGAGAGTCAGAGCGGTTACACAGGGAAACCCTGTCTTCAAACCCCCCCCCAAAAAAAAGAAACTGTAAAAAATGTAGAACTGGCTACAATAGTTATCTGTTACCTGCCTCAAAAGATAAAACCTTCACAACCACTGGACTATTAGTGTACGCTTTTGAATAGCATCACATAGGTGGGGAAGGTGTATCACTATAAAGTGAGTATGAGCCAACATACAATATTTACAATATGTAGGACCTTTCCTGGTGGAGCCTGTCACTGCTGACTCTAACCTCACCTCTGTGGTTTACTACTTAGATTACACAACAAGCTAGTCTGTGCATGTCTTCTGTGAAGAGAAGAAATTTTATTATATGTGTATCAGCGCTTTGCCTGCATGTATGGCTGTATTCTACCTTAGTGCCTGGTTCCCAGAGAGGCAAGAAGAGGATGTTGGATTCCAAGAACTGAAGAAACAAAAGATTGTTAACTGCCATGTGAGTGCTAAGAATCAAACTAGATCCTCTAGGGAAACAGCTAGTTCTCCTAACCTTAGCCGATTTTCCAGCCTCATGATTTTTTTCAAGATTTATTTATGTGTATGAATGTTTTGCCTGTTGTCATTCCACCATGTGTGTCTGTACCCACAGAAGTCAGAAAAGAACTTCAGATGTCCTGGAATTAAGAGTTGCAGATGGTTGTGAGCTACAGAGAATTGAATTTAGGTCCTTTACAAGAACAACAAGTGCTCTTAACTACTGGGCCATGTCTCCAGCCTTGAAAGGGAGTAATAAATGATGGATCATTCTTAAGAATTTTGTTGGGCCGGCAGTTGGTGGTGCAAGCCTTTAATCCCAACACTCAGGAGGCAGGTGGATCTCTGTGAGTTTGAGGACAGCCTGGTCTACAGAGCTAGTTCCAGGAGACTCTCCAAAGCAATACAGAGAAAACCTGTCTCAAAAAAAACAAAATAAATAAATAAACTTTGTTGGAAGCCAGCCTGATCTACAGAGTGACATCCAGAGCTGCTATACTGAGAAAAACCTGTCTCAAAAAACAAAAACAAAAAAGGAAGGAAGAAAGAAGGGAGGGAGGAAGGGAAAGAGGGAATTGTGATGGGTTTGAAAGATGGCTCAGAAGATAAGCGTGCCCTCTGCTGTGGCAAAGGATCTTGGCTCCCAGTCAGAAAATATGATGCCATGATCTCAACAGGTACTCTCACACACATACAGTTTTAATTAAATAATATTTAAATAATTAAATAAATAAGCCTGGCACAATGACATAGGGCTTTTATCCCAGTACTCAAGAGACAGAGGTAGGCAGACATCAGAAAGTTTAAGGCCACCCTGGTCTACATAGTGAGTTCCAAGCCAGCCAGAGCTACACAGTAAGAACCTGCCTCAAATAAATAAGGTAGGTAGGTAGAGATGGGGGGGTGATTGATAGATGGATAGACCGATAGATAGACTGTTGTTATTTAGTTACAGTAATAGGAATAAAAGCTGGAGAAGGGGGTGAGTAAAATATTTGCTTTTATGGCATATATTTTACTAAAAGCTAAGACATACTTCAAATGCTAATATTTTTTACAGCAGAAAATGGAGATATTTCATGAGGCTTTTTAATCAATTACAGATCTTAATTAAACACTTGTCATAGAAATGTTTTACAGAAAATTATTGTATACCTACATATCCACAGTTATCACACTATTTACTTTGGTGGAACCAACATTACAGGGAGCAAAAACAAAACAAAAACCTTCAGCCTAAAATGAAGTAAGATGATCAAAACAGCAGCAGCAGTGGACAGTCTTGCTGTCCAACAGTCAAGACATTTGGTCTTGAACACTCAAGTAGCCTCCAATATCTAGAGGTATGAACTAGCATACACACTTGCACTTGCCTGGAAACCTGAATTTTTCTGCTAATTTTACAAAGAGAACATATATAAATATTATTTAGTGTTGGGTGTGTCCGGGAGTTGATTTTAAAGTATATTTCACTTCATACAATCAACAATCTTGCTACCAACTCTTGTGAGCTTGTAAATTCTGAGTTAAAAAAGCATATGGGCCATTTTAGCTATTTAAGTACACTTCTAAGACTACTGCAACTCATCCCACAGACTACTGAATGTTCCTAAAGGGTTATGCAAAAACTCAGACAAGTCTTTCCTTCAAAGCAAACGCATACAAAGAGGCAAACTGTGGTATCTATTAAAAGTAATCTACCACTGCACTATAGGGATCATGTTTATTACCTGATGCCGTTTGATGATATCCTTCAATTTATTAGCCAACTTCAAGTCAATGTCTGGAATGAGGTAGATGTTGGGTCTAGTCAGACAATTGTTCTGAGAAAACAAACAGACACACTTTGAAATTCAAGTGGTTTTGAAATGCTGTTTCTTTGACTGTTCATCATCCTTTCATTCTGTTTCTTTTTTGTTTTTAAATGTATGTGGAAACCGTTCACCTTGGCATACATGTTGTCATTAGACAAACAAGGATGCCAGGAACTGAACTCCAAGTAACAATCTTGACAGCAAGTGCCTTTACCCATTGAAGCATCTCACAGGTCCCTGATCACTCATCAACTTAATGTCTGAAGCTGACATTCAAACCTTCATTTCTTAAGATAGGAAGACATCTTTGTTTTGGTTTTTGGTTCTTTGAGACAGGGTTTCTCTGTGTAGCCCTAGCTGTCATGGAACTCAGAGATCCACATGCCTCTGGCTCCCATGTATTGAGATTATAGGCATGTGCCACCATGCCCAGCTTGGAAGACATCTTTTGATACACAATATAATAGTCCTATCTTAATGAAACCTAGACGGTTTAGTAGGCTATTCAAAATCACCCCCAGACCCCTTCTGCAGCCAGAAAGACTGCTGACAATCATTTGAAATGAAATTATTGCTTAAAATTCAGCAAGGTGAGAGACATCAGGGATTCAATCCCAGCACTCAGGAGACAGAGTTAGGATGATCTCTATGTGTTCGTGGTGATCTGGTCTGGTCTACACAGTGAGTTACAGGACAGCCAGAGCTACAAGTTGAGACCCTGTCTCAACCCCCAACCACAATAAACAAATAAGTAAAGGTCAGGGGAGAAGACTCAGTGGGTAAAGTTCTGTTTGAGCATAAGAAATTGATTTTGAATGCCCAGTACCACCAGAGAAGCTGGGGGTTGTGGCACACATCTGTGGACCAAAATGGTATCTCTGAAGAACAAACAAGTTATCATCCCACTGAGTTTCCTGGCCAGGCACTAGCCAAAATGGCTCATGTCCAGGTTCAATGAGAGATCCTTTATCAAAAAGATGAGGTAGAGAGCTGTCTCAATGGCTAACAGCAGCTCATTTCAGCTACAGGGAATTTGATGCATGCTTCTGAGCTCTGTAGGCACTGCACACATGGTACACATATATACATACAGGTATATATACTGTATATATATACAGGTAAAACACTCAAATACATAAAACAAAAACAGAATTTGGTGAGCATTATTGCAGTGAGATGGTTCAGCAACTAAAACTGCATTTTACACCATTACCTGATTTTGGCCCTAAAACAAACTCAAAGTTGACAGTTGCCCCTGCAAATGAATTGCACAAGGACACATTCCCAGGTGTCTGTGGAACCAAAGTCAGGCATGTAACAACCTTTGTGCCAGTTTTTGGCTTGCAAAAAGCCTGGCAGATAGAATTAAAGACACAACTCCCTGCACAAAAACTTCTCACCAATTGACTTTCTGCGCCGACTCCTAACCACACTTTTTGTTTTGTTTTTGAGACAGGGTTTCTCTGTACCTTTGGAACCTGTCCTAGAACTCACTCTGTAGAACAAGCTGGTCTGCTTCCAGAGTGCTGGGATTAAAGGTATGTGTCAGCACGGTTTGGCCCTAACCTCACTTTTATAATACAAGGTTAAACTGCTCATTGCTCTCTATGCATTTCCATGATGTCTCTATGATGTCTCTCAGGCTATGTACAGATAGGGGGTGCCTCCCACCTGCACAAACAAGCATTGCCATGGATACTCATATCCACCATGTCATTGTGACATTCTAAGCCTGAGGGAAACCTTGCAATTCCTTCTGTATCAGAATGGCTCTGTTTCGTACTATTTATTCACAAAATGCTACATGACCCTGAAAATATAATTTATATATTGTCCAGAGTTTGTTCTGTGAAGAGTGTGTAAGTGTGTGAATGTGCAAATGATGTAGAAGACAGGTATAGCTCTATGTAGACAAGTAACTGTGTAGAGATTTTTTAAGATGACGTAAAAGAGGTTACCATCAGAAAGCATGTGTTTCTGCCTGGGTGGTGGCGCAGGCCTTTAACCCGAGCACTTGTGGAACAGAGAAAATTGGATCTCAGTGAGTTCGAGGCCAGCCTGGTTTACAGAGTGAGTTCCAGGACAGGCTCCAAAGCTACACACAGAAAAACAAAAACAACAACCAAAAGCATGTGTTTCTTTGGTATTCCCTCAGAAAGAAAAAGTTTAGTTCATGGCACATTCATACTTTTTTTTTTTTCATGACCTTGGCTAAAAGAGGCTGGCCCTATAGTTAGTGATAAAAAAAATGTCAAGACTAGTTGAATTTGGTAGTGCATGCCTTTAATTCATCACTTGGCGGGAAGAAAAGAGAATCTGTGAGTTCAAGGCCAGCATGGTGTATATATATATATATACATGAGTCCCAGGATGGCCAGGACTAAAACAAATAAGAAAATAAAAATGTTTTGGGACAGGTGGTGGTGTACTCCCTTTATCCCAGCACTAAGGAAGCAGAGGCAGGTAGATCTCTTAGGTTCTAGTGCAGCCTTGTCTTGTCTCTACAGTGCAAGTTACAGAGCAATCAAAGCTACAAAAGAAACCCTATCTCAAGCAAAAAAAAAAAAAAAAAAAAAAATTAAGAGACTGACAGTCTTTAAATGATCAAGTCAGTTACAGTTCAAATGCTAACACACATAAAAACAATAAAATTATGTATTTCAGAAAACTCCTTCCCTTTTTCTTTTGGCAATCCAATAAAGACAATCTTAGAACTGAAGTATATTAAAGGCAATAAACCTTCAAGCAGGGTGGTGGCACACGCCTGTAATTCCAGCACTTCGCAGGCAGAGGCAGGTTGATCTCTGAGATCAAGGCCAGCCTCGTCTACAGAGTGAGTCCCAGGACAACCAAGGCAACACAGAGAAACTGTCTTGAAAAACCAAGGGGGGGGGAGGGGGAAATCAATCAAGTGGAGCTAGTGACTCATGCACCCGATTTAGGAATGGATTTTGTTTGGGGGGGGGCATTTTTTTAGGTCAGCCTGGGCCTGAAGAAGCACTTTCTAAAACACGACAGGAGGACAAAGCCTAATTCTACAACTCACCTGTACCAAGGTTTTTTCAATGTTCATGAACATTTCAACATTACGGTCCATTCGGGATGGATTCTGAAGATCAAATCTCCGCCTAAGGAAGGAAAAAAGGCCTTTACTAATAAGTTCCTAAGTCCATCTTACATACAAGAAGGAGAAATGTCATTTTAGAACTGAACTCAAATGAATCAGAAAGGCTTGGAAACTAAGCTACTACTGTATAAAGTGAACATATTCTGTCAGTACTACAAAAATGCATATTATTCAAACCATCATAATAGACCTTTTGATCTGGAAGATGACTCAATGAGTACACGTACTGATGTTAACCCTGATAACCTGAATTTGATCCACAGAACCCACACAGTGGAAGACGACAATGGATTCACCAAAATTTGTCTTCTTACCTCCACTCATATACACATATGCAAAATTTTCGGGGTACCAATGCTATTCCTATTTTCCTTCAGTCCAAGATATATTCATGATATAGGAAAGTAGGTCACAAGGCTGGGGACATAACTTGTGATAAAATGCTTGCCTAACATATAGAATGGATCTGGGTTTAATCTGGGTTTAATACAAAGAAAGAAATGTAAAATAATGGTAGTTTCAAAGATATAAGGAAATGGAATATGATACCCAAGAAGGAAGAATGTTTACTTAAAGTCATTTTGTTCAAGAATGGCAAGATGGCTCAGCAGTAAAATGATAAGGCTGACAACCTAAGTTTCATCCCTAGTACCTACATGGCAGGAAAACTGACTTCAAAAGTTGTCCTCTGACCTCTACACAGGTGATGCACATGCCTATAAACACATACAATTATTGTGCTGCTAGGCACAGTGGTACAAGCCTTTAATCCCAGCAGTAAGGAGGCAGAGGCAAATTAATCTCTTGAGTTACAGGTCAGCCTACTCTACACCTCGAGTTTCAGGAAAGCCAGTACTACAGAAAGACCCTGTCACAAAAAAACAAAAAGAATTTCTAATTATGAGATAGAGACAGGAAATACAATGTGGCACCAATAGGTGCCACAGCACATGTGTGGAAGTCAGAGAACTCTGCTAATGAAGATGAAAGCTATGACAACCTCTCAGCCCTGACTAAGCACATCAAGTGCCTCTAACTCCAGTTCCAAAGGATCTAGCGCCTTCTTCAGACCTCCATGGGTACCTACACTCACTGACGTATATACATACATAAGCAAAAAGCAAAAAATAAACACATAAAAAATAAAAATATTAATTTTTTATCACTAAGCCACGTTAAATTATATTCTAAAGGCGTACCAGCAAATTCCAAAACATGGTCATATGTATATCTTGAGCACTTGTAATACTTGTAAATGCAGGAGGCAACAATGGGAGAGCCCTCCTGGATAACATTCCTTATCACATCAATCAGTTACCTAAAAGCAGATCCATGAAAAGGATTTTTTTGGTTTTTCAAAACAGAGTTTTTCTGTAACTTTGGAGCCTGTCCTAGAACTCACTTTGTAGACCAGACTGTCCTCTAACTCAGAGATCCACCTGCCTCTGCCTCCATGAAAAAGATTCTACAGTCAATCTTTATAAGACAAAACACAAACTCACTGAGATTGGGTGAGTGGGGAGGTCAAAAACCAGTAAGGAATTTCTATAATAATGATAAACTATGAAACTTTAAAAGCCATCACTAGGGCTGGAGAGATGACTCAGTTGTGAGGAGCACTGGCTGCTCTTCCACAAGTTCTGAGTTCAATACCAAGCAACCACATGGTAGCTCCCAACAATGATATCTGGTACCTTCTTCTGGCCTGCAGGCATGCATGCATGAGAATACTATATACATAATAACTAAATAAACTTTAGCAGGGGAGTGGTGGTACAGGCCTTTAATCCCAGCACTTGGGAGACAGAGGCAGGTAGAGCTCTATGTGTAGCTACGGACATACTGAAGGAGCACACTGGTAGCAAACACAAGCCCTTCGATTCAATTCCCAATACCACAAAAACTAAATATATTATTTACCCAATAAAAACAGTTGTAATTTTTCTTGAATGTAAGAAAAAAAATGAAAGGAGGCTCTTTGCTTTGTTTTGTCTTTGAAGGTTAGGTTAGATCTACTTGCTTCTGTCCCAAGTGCTAGGATGAAAAGTGTAGACCACCACACCTGACTATGTGCTTCAGAAAAGATTTGAAACTGATTTAAAACACAGGCCTTACATTACCATTAACAGCAATATTCTTACAGAATTCTCAACATACAAGAGAAAATGATTTCACATTGAATAATATCACATCAAAACATGCAAATAAATTTTAAAAATACTTACCACCCCTGTTCATTTTTGAACTTGTAAGCAGCCCCAAGAATGTGACACAAGGTGCCTCCAGCTTTGAAATCCATAAAACATTTTGCCTAAAAATGACAAATAGCACGAGAAAAATAAAAGTTCCAATAAGACCATTCATGTTATACTTGAAACTTTACTCAGGGATTCCTACATGCTAAAACAAATGCTCTTACTGGTGAACTACAATTCCAGGCCTCCTTTTTAACTCAGTAAGGTTCTCAGGTACCCTGGGTAACCAACCCTAACCTCACTCTGCAGCTCAGGCAACCCTGAACTTTTGCCCCAGCCTCCCCAGTAACCCAATTCTATGCTTCAATCACCAGGTCTGAGTCCCAGATTTTTTTTTTTTTTTTTTTTTTTTTTGAGTGTGTTTTTCAAGACTGTGTTTCTCTGTGTAGCCCTGGCCATCCTGGGACTCATTCTGTGGCCCAGTCTGACTCAGAGATCTCTGCCACAAGGACCTGAATGAAAGCTGTGGACCTCTGATGCCTGGATATTTTTTTAAACCAGAGTCTTCATGTAGACCACACTGGGCTCAAATGAGCAATGTAGCTGAGATTGAGTTTAAACTTTAATCTTCCCTCCTCCATCCCCAGTAACCCAATTCTATGCTTCAATCACCAGGTCTGAGTCCCAGATTTTTTTTTTTTTTTTTTTTTTTTTGAGTGTGTTTTTCAAGACTGTGTTTCTCTGTGTAGCCCTGGCCATCCTGGGACTCATTCTGTGGCCCAGTCTGACTCAGAGATCTCTGCCACAAGGACCTGAATGAAAGCTGTGGACCTCTGATGCCTGGATATTTTTTTAAACCAGAGTCTTCATGTAGACCACACTGGGCTCAAATGAGCAATGTAGCTGAGATTGAGTTTAAACTTTAATCTTCCCTCCTCCATCTCATGGTTACTGAATCCAGAGGAATGAGCCACTACACTGAGCTACACAAAAAATTCCCCCCCCCCCAGACTTTTAAAATTACATTTACTGGGCTAGAGAGGAGGCTCAGCACTTACTACTTTTGCAGAGGACCAAGTTTGATTACCAACATCCACATGGTGGCTCACAGCTCTCTATAACTCCAATCTAGAAGATCAAGGCATTCCTGACTTCAACAAGCCCTGCAGGTCGGCACACACCCAAACCTACACTCAGACACACCCATACACACAAAAAAATTAAAATAAAAATTTAAATCTTTAAAAGTAAATAGTTGGCAGTGGTGGAACCTGGTAAACACCTTTAATCCCAGCACACAGGAGCAGAGGCAGGAGGATGATTGGGGGGGGGGGTAATCATGGTTCACAGAAAAACCCTTCCTCAAAAAACAAAACTACAACAAGAAATATATTTGCTTTGTTAAGTCATTCTCATGCAACTTTCTTTTACAGTATTACAATCCAGAACCATCTCTTCCATTTACGCAAATGCTACATTCTATTTTGAGAGGAAAAGAAATATATCTGGTTCTACTGGCACTAAGCCATGAATTATTTTTAATTATGGTTTATGACTTAAATAATCTACAATTCCTAAACTCTTTTAGTAAATAATGGTTTAGTTCCCAGCAGTTAAAGTCCCTTGTAATGTCATTTTGGATGATGACACTTAGATGCTCATAATTAGGAATACCAAAATATGAATCATATTTTTAAAAATAAACTTTTGTTGTTTGTTCCTGAGACAGGATTTTATTATTTAGTTCTGGCTGTCCTGGAACTCACTACTGTAGCCCGGGATAGTCTTGAATTCAGAGATCCACCAGCCTCTGCCTTCCAAGTGCTGGGATTAAAAGTTTTCATCTCTGTCAGCGTTGGTGGCACACACCTTTGATCCCAGCACTTGGGAGGCAGAGGCAGGGAATCTCTGGGAGCTGGAGGCCAGCCTGTCTACAGAGCGAGTTCCAGGACAGGCTCCAAAGCAATACACAGAAACCATGTCTCTAAAAAAGTATGCATCTCTTACTAGGCTTTAAAAAACAAAACAAAAAACTTTATTCTAGAACAGTCAGAGCTAGATAGAGACCCTGTCTTAAAAAAAAAAAAAAGTACTTTATGCAGATTTTATTCTGAATGATGTGACATTTGATAAACTACACTAAATTATGAGATCACTGTATAATTTTTTTTAGATTTGTGTATAGGTGTTTTACCTGCATGTATAACACACACAAACATATAAATAAAAATTAAAAATAAAGTATACAAAGTATATTTTAAAAAATTCATTAGCTGGGAATGGGTAACACATTTTAATTCCAGCACCAGAGCGATAGAGGCAGGGTCTGCATTTAAGGCCAGCCTAGTCTACCCATTGAGTTCCAGGACAGGCAGGAATATACAAAGACCTTATCTCCAAAAAACAAAAAAAAAAATTAACTTACTAAATTTCCATTTATAGGCCGGCATTCAGGAGGCAGAGGCAGGTTAATTTCTGTGAGTTTAAAGACATTATGGTCTAGATAGTGAGCAGGACAGCCAAGGTTATATAGAGAGACCCTGACTGAAAAGAACAAAAAAATCTGCACAGATTTATTTGTGCGTGTGTAGGGTGTGCAAGTGCCACAGTACAAATGTGTACATAAGACGACAATGCGAGGGAGTCTGTTTTTCCTTCCATCATGTACATCCCAGAGACAGAACTCAAGATTGTCAAGCATGAGCCAAGTGCTTTCATCTGCTCAGCCACCTCATTGTCCCTTGATAGAATTTAAAAAGTATAAACTACACTGACCTTTAGTCTGAGTCTGTCAAACAAGACTGTTAAAGAACTTGCCCAGTATGCACAAAGTCCTAGACTGGAAAACCACAAAGAAAAAAAGGTCTTCAATTCCAACAAGCATGCTTGTACTCTGGATCCCCATTACAGCACCTCAGGTGGCTAATTGCTGAGGACAGGCATCCTTTTTCATGCATATACTCGCTTACTTGTGTGAAAGAGAAGGTGGCAGGTCAGGGTACTTGCTCTCAATAGTGATGACTTGAGTTTGGTCCCTGTGACCCACAGGCTGGAAGAGCCAACTCCTGAAGTCCTGACCCCCACATGCACACTGTGGCAGGCACATGCCCACACACACACAATCACACAGTAAATAAACTAAATTTAATTGTCTTTGTCTTTTTGAGACAGGATTTCTTTCTCTATGTATCTCTGGCTGTCCTGGAACTCACTCTGTAGATCAGGCTGGCACTGTAGGTCAACCTATTCTACTAAGTGCTTGGATTAAAGAGGTGCACCACCTCTGTCCAGCTATTTAAATTTTTAATTAAAAACAAAAACAAAACAAGGAGCTAGAGAGGTTCAGAGCACTAGCTGCTCTTCCAAAGGTCTCAGGTTAAATTCCCTGATAGCTCACAACTGTCTGTAACTCCAGTTCCAGGGGCTCTGACACCGTCTCACCAATGCACATAAATTAAAAACAAAACAAAATATGAAAGTACTCTTACCACAAGGTTCTAACAAGTAAGTACCAGTATGAACAGCACAGCATAAACTATGGCAACCCTAACGCAGAAATATTCATGATTGTTGCAGAGTCTAAAACACATTAAAAGACATAATAGCAGGCAAGAATCTGCCACCAACTAAGAATGGTAGCAAATGCCTAAAATCCCAGCTCATGGAAGGCAAAAGGGTGACATAGTCACAGCTAGCCTCTAATTCGTAGGCAGTTCCAAGTCAATCCCAGAATATGTGAAAGCCTGTCTCAAAAACAGACTAAACAAAATACTACTCTATACAGTTGTGTCCACCCCACCCCCCCTCACTGCAATAGCAAGGGAAATCAGACACAGAAGGTTGACACTTCAAAGTACAGAAACTGTGCCGGGCAGTATCTACAAAGCAAATTCAGGACAGCCTGGGCTACACAGAGAAACCGTGTGTGTGTGTGTGTGTGTGTGTGTGTGTGTGTGTGTGTGTGTGTGTGTGTGTGTGTGTTTGTTTGTTTTGGGGGGAGGCAGAAGCTGAAGTACTTACAGGTAGTTTGGTGAAAGCTGGGTACACAGAGAAACCGTGTGTGTGTGTGTGTGTGTGTGTGTGTGTGTGTGTGTGTGTGTGTGTGTGTGTGTGTGTTGGGGGGAGGCAGAAGCTGAAGTACTTACAGGTAGTTTGGTGAAAGCTGGGTTGGTGACATGCTTCCCAAAGGCATCTTCTTGGAACTGAAGAAGCTGTACCACCAGTCCAGCCAGTGCTTTATTGGTAGGAGCATCAGCATGAACATACTGCAAGAAAAAGACAGGAATTCAAACCTGGTACAGCTGATCCTGGAGAGAAAGCTACCTTACTTCCTACTACCTATTAAGTAACAGCACTCCATCAAATTTTAGGTATGTGAAGCACACTCTCCACTGTAAAGAATCATACAAACCACATATGTGCATATTTTCTTAATTTAGTCTCTTTTCTCCTGACAGGGTTTGTGTAGCATTGGCTGTCCTAGAACTCAGAGATCTGCCTGCCTCTGCCTTCATAGTCAGGCATGCACTATCACAGCCAGGCCTACATACGAGTGCATAGTTAAAAAAGCAGATACTGTATGATGCCTCAACAGTTAAGACTAGGTGCTCTTACCAACACCTGCATGGCAGTTCAGAAATGTCTAACTCCAGTCTCCTGGTGTGAGGATACCAGACATGCACGCGGCACACATACATACATGCATAAAAAGCACCCATAAACCACCCACACAAAAAAGACAAGTTTCATGACTAGGAAAGCATAATTAATGAATTAAATGCAAAACCTCTGAAAGGGTTGGAGGGGGAGAGGATTCAGCTGCTCTTCCAGAGTAATCTAGGTTTGATTCTCAACACACACAAGGGAGCTCAAAACCACTGTCAACTCCACTTCCAGATAATCCAAGTGATCCTTCTGGTTTATGTGGGCACCAGGCACACTTTGGTACACAGACGTGAATACAGGCAAAACAGTCATACAAACAAACTAAACATAAACTTAAAAAGTTTATATCTTCTAAATACACTGTTAAATACAACAGTAATGCTTAGTGAACACGGTGTGGTGGCTTATACCTATTCTAGTGCTCAGGAGACAGGCAGGAAGATCTCTGGGAATTTGAAGCCAGCCTGGTCTAAACAGTGAGTTCCAGAACAGCCAGAGCTACATAGTGAGACAATGGAGAAGAGGGGGAGAAATGCTTAGTGTGCACCAAGCATAAATAAGTCAACACTTTCTGACTTTTAAAGCCTTAGAAACAGGGTTACTTCCGAAAAAACCCAAGGTCCCTGTCGAATACCAACAGTCCACCAAGCTGTAGACCCCAAGCCAGTCAGGGACTAGTTTCTACTTTTTTAAGACAGGCTGTTTTAAGACATGTTGGAGCCCAGGCTCCTCTTGAGTTTCGAGCTCACTATGTGATCTCCATGCTTGAACCTCTCAAAGGATTACAGATATTAGGTGCTGGGGTTCAAACCCTAGGCCTGACCCATGCTAAGTGAACACTCTACAAAACTATTTAAATACCGAGGTCCTAGTTTGACTTTTCACTCATTCAACAAACACTTATTCAAACAGCTATTAAGGATGACACAGTTAAAACTCACCCCGGGGCCTCGATGGGGTAAACACTACTGAATTTGAGAGTAGTAGAGGAAGTGTTTTGGAGTCATTCCTCAACATTTACATAGTGGGACTTTTACTCTACCAGTGAGGTGAACACACACCGGTAAAGGCACTCATTATCAAGCCTGATGACCTAAGTTCGATTCCTGGACCCAGTCGGTGTTAGAAGACAATTTACTTAACATCAACACAGGAATGGGATTCACCTCTCCAAAATAAATTGATGCAATTTTTTAAAAAAAGCAAATGGTTAATTCACAACTTTGTAATACTGACTCAGCAGAATGTGCATTCGAAAGTAGGAGAAACAAGGGAGGTTTAAGAAAAAAATTACAAAGAAAACAAACAGTTCTTGATGAAAGACCTTAACTCTTGTACTCATATCTTTACACATCACAAAAAGTACAATAAACCATCACTTTTAGGTAGTCCGGTATCACTCCTATTGCAAAATTTAAACCTACATTATTAACTCACGAGACAATCAACCCAGGTCCCTTAGGGCATCCACAGCGGGTAGCAAACCCTTAGTTACGGAACCACTTAGAAACTGGTCTCTAAACAAAACTTCAAGCTACTTTTACTACGCTGGGCTCGGTCTTGAACGTTCTTTGTTCACACACCTAAGGCAGCTAACAAAAGACAAGGGACACACGCCCTGCGGCTCTGCCCAGCTCCACCTGCTTCTGCGCGGAACAACGAGCGAGCTGGGGCTTCCCACGCGAGTGCGTGGGCCCGGGAGAGCCAGCAGGAGGGCCCATCCCGCCGCGTGCCTGCAGCCGCCCGCGGGGGCGTGGCGAGAGGCGAGCCAGCCTTTGTTGTCCCTCGTGGCGCGCGGAGGGGGGGAGGGGTGGCCCGAGGCTCGCGAGGCCCGCAGCCACCACCAGCTCCTGTCGCGTGGCGCCTCGGTGCCCACGGGCGCGCGCGGACCCACCTTCTTGTAGTGCTTGCCCAGCCAGACTCGCACCGAATCCAGCTGGGACACCGTGTCCGGGCTTTCCCAAAACTTGCTGGCCGGGCCCCCGTCCTTCCTCCGGTACACGGCCAGGCCCGAGGCCGCCGCCACACCCCCTGCACCCACGGAGCCTGCTGCCGCTCCCGGACCGCCGCCCGCTGTCGCGGCCATGGTCACCGTCCGTCGTCTCCGCCGCCCGGCCTGGCCCTCGCGGCGTTTCCCGTTCGCACCCGCGCGCGCGCGCGCAGCTACCGCCGCCTCCTCCTAGCCCCGCCCATCCAGCCCACCTTCCGGCGTCGGGGCCAGGCCCCGCCCCTCCCAGGCACCGGAGCGGTAACGGACTGGCTCGAAGAGCAGGCGCACGCATGCGCAGCACGCCGGTCGCCCACTACAACAAGAGGAGCTGCCCGCCTCTTCCGCCCGCCTCTCAGGAATGAGTCCCAGCAGCTTCTCTTCGCGGCTTCTGCATCTGACCCTCCCCGGCTTCCTGCATCTGATCGTTAGGCAGTCAGCAACCTCAAGGAGATCCTGTATGGCAACTTGAGAAAGCCATCTCGGGTGTGTAGTGCGAGCGAGGTCTAGAGGCCCACCCTGAGATCTAGTGTGCAGTCCCCGCCTGCCTACAGTCCTACGACACCCGGAGACCGCGTCGGCCTTGGAAAGCGTCATTCAAGCCCCAGTGTTGCTTGGAGCTTCAGCTTCACACACCTTCGAGCTCTCATTAATGTCTCTCGAACCACATCGGCTGGTTTCTGCCGCCTCGGCCTGACTCCAGCTACTACTGCGACCTCGAGATTATCTTCTATTTTGATACTCGCACTCGAGGCTTTCTCAAATTCATGAAAGTATTCCAGAAAACCGGTCCCTGACTGAACAGCCAATCACACCCACCCGACGGTTTCTTTGTAGTTCTCTCCACAACCTGGTGTTTTTATTCACAGGTATATACTCGGCGTTGGGAGACAGGACGTTTTGACAACACAGGTTCAGTACATAGTTTATAAATGAATGGTCTACAAAGTGGGACTGGCCATATTGGAAACGTGAACATCATACTATATGATCCTGGAGCTCTAAATGAGCAAGGATGAGTTTTTCAACCTTTTAAAAATGAATACAGGTAGCCGCTGGACGGTGGTGGCACACGCCTTTAGTCCCAGAGGCAGGTGGATCTCTGGAGTTCGAAGCCAGAGAAACAAAACAAATTAAAATATATACATATGTACATACATACACACATAAATATATGTATATATGCACACAGTGAGACAGGGAAAAGGGAATAGGATGTAACTAGAAAGGACGGGCAATCAAGACTGAATGTGAGAAAGAGCCCTCAGTGAAAGAACTGTAAAGGCTGACTTTACCTACAGGACTGGGAAGCAAACTGTTATCTGAAGACGTGACATGATGAGGTGTATATATCTGAAAGATCCCATGAGTATGGAGGGTGATTTGGGGAAATGTGGATCCTGAGCTGATTAGGGTGGCACATGCCAATAATCACAGCGCTGGTGATGATGGGAGGGTTGCTACGAGTTTATGGGCAATTGGGGAACAGGAAGTACCATGTCTGGAGCTGTGGCAAGTGTGGCACCCTGAAATGGAACCCGGAACCCACATGACAGTGGAAAGAGAAAATCCCCACAGTTATCCCCGGATCTGCACCCTGTGCTGTGGCATACATACATCAAAAATATCTAATCCTTTCTAAAAATGCAACAGGGCAGAGTCAGGCTGTGGTGGCACACACCATTAATCCTGGCACTCAGGAGGTAGGGACAAGCAGATCTCTTGAGTTCAAAGCCAGGCCAGTCAACACAGTGACTCCAGAACCACATAGAGAGACCTTGTCTAAAACAAAACCAAAGAAATGGAGCATAACAGTGAGACGGGTCAGTGTTAATACCAAGCCTGGCAATCTGAGTTCAGTCACAGAACCCAAGCAATTGACTGAAAAGAACCAACCAGCTACCTTGTCCTCCTGTCTCCAAAGGCAGCCTCTGGGGACATGCTTGTCATGGCACATTCACACACACACACATACACAAAGTAAATAAATCTAAAAGTTCTTTCCAAAAGAAAGAGCCGCGAGTTGGTGGCACATGCCTTTGATCTCAGGAAGGCTGAGATTCCAGGACAAGACAGAGAAACCCTACCTCAAAGAAAAGAATCCTTATCTCAAAAAAAAAAAAAAAAAAAAAAAAACAATGGGTGGTAGTAGCCCACACCTTTAATCCCAGCACTCAGAAGGCAGAGGCAGGCTGATCTCTGTGAGTTCAAGGTCAGCCAGGTCTACAAAGCAAGTTCCAGGACAGCTGGGGCTATCAAACAGAGAAACCATCTCAAAAGACCAAAAAAGAAATGGATTATGCCAATTAAGAACTTAAACTCTGGAACTAATAGTAGCTGGGTTTTGTGAAGCACTACTTACATTGTACCACAATTTGTACTGACCACACCTTTTTAAAAATAGTTTTTCAAGACAAAGTGTAGCTCTGACTGTACTCAACTCACTCTGTAGACTAGGCTGGCCTCAAACTCAGATACCATGCCCAAAATGGAAAAGCAATGGTAGGTAAAATAACTAGCGCAGGGAATAGAGTCTTGTTTTTTATGTGGATAAGTGTATATTAGTGTTTTGATATTCCATGTATGTCTATGAAAGTTAGAAAAAGGTATCCTCTGGAACTGGAGATACAGATAATTGTGAGCTGCCACATGGATGCTGGGACTCAAACCCAGGTACTCTGCAAGAACAAGTGCCCTTAACAGCCTAGGGTTTTTTTGGTTTGGTTTTGGTTTTTTGGTGTGTGTGTGTGTGTGTGTGTGTCTAAACCAGAAGTTATACCCTGAAATAAGCTCTAAAAAAAAAAAAAAAAAAAAAACCAGCTGGACAGATGGTTTAGCAGTTAAGAGCATTGGCTGCTCCTCCAGAGTTCAGTTCCCAGTAACCACGTCGGCTCCCAACCATCCATCAAGATCTGATGCCCTCTACTGGCTTGCAGGCAGATCTGTAATTAATTTTTTAAAGTCTTTCAAACAAACTGAAAATGCATAGGAATTGTGTGTGGCAGTGGAGAGCCATAATTCCAGTCTTGGGGTGGTAGAGCAGGCAGATAAGTTCAAGTTCCTGTGGGGAATTGTCTTAAATGTTAGTTGATGAAGAAGGGTTCAACCCACTGCAGGCAGCACCATTCCCCAGGCAGGCAGGCCTGGGTGGTACAGAATCTCAATGAACATGAGCTTGAGCCAGCCAGCAAGAAGAATTCCTTCATGTTTTTTGTTTTCAGTTTCTACTTGAGTTCCTGCCCCAACTCCCATATATATAACCTATTAGATGAAATAAAGCTATTCCTTCTCTTGATTAAAAAAAAAAAAAATTCAAGATCTCCAGGTAAGTTCAAGATACAGAATGAGTGCCAGAATAGGCTCCAAAGCTACACAGAGAAACTCTGACTCAAAAAACAAAAATGAAAGAAAAAAGAAAAGAATAAAGCTTGGAGGGAGGGGTACACAATGATAGCTCAGGGGTTGTTGCTGCCAAATCTGATTACCTGAGTCCCTAGGATCCATAGGGTGGAAAGACAGACTCCCACAAGTTGTCCTCTAACTATTACACATGCCAACATACATAGAGGATTGTGAGCATGCACACATATACATACAAATAAAATATATTTTTTAACTTGGATACAGTGCCCGTAAACACAGCACTAGAGAATTAGAGGCAGGAGGATGAGGAGTTCAAGATCAACTTAGGGTTCAAAGCTAGTTTAAGGCCATCCTAGGCTATGTGAGACCCCAGAGAGAGGTTCCAAGGTGCATAGTCGAACATAATGTTATGCTGCCCACAGAGCACACAGAAACCAATGGGAAAGATGTAAAACTTGTTCTTCCATAAAGAAAGCTGGTAGGCAGGCAGTGGTGGCACATACCTTTAAACCCAGCACTCAGGAGGCAGAGGCAGGTGGATCTGTGAGTTCGAGGCCAACCTGGCCTACAGAATGAATTTCAGGACAGCCAAGCCTAATACAGTGAAACTGTCTCAAAACAAACCAAACAAAGCTAATAATTAAGCCAGACAATGATAGCACACACCTTTAATCCCAACACTCAGGAGGCAGAGGCAGGTGGATCTCTGAGTTCAATGCCTGCCTGGTCTACAGAATGAGTCCCAGTACAGCCAAGGCTACACAGAAAAGCCTGTTATGGAAAAAAAGAAAGAAGAAAAAAAAGGTGGTAGTTGACAATGATTAATAGCTTCGTGATCTGAGGACTGGAGGTAGCTGGTAATCTAAATGACCCTTTCATGGAGAGGCTCTTCAAGCTCCTACAACCAGAACCTGAGATACCTAATTATCTGTATAGCCAGGGCTCCCCCAAACTCCACAACCAGGAACACCAGTGGCTAATAGCCCAAATGACCTCGATGCTGTCTGTATAGCTCAGACCAAACCAGACCTTTCCTTAGCCCTTAAGAAGTTCAGGTAGAACTCATCTTCTTGGAAGAAATGACATATACCCTGAGTCAAGTTTTGATGTAATTATGCTTTCTTATGCACTGGGATTGTATTGCACCAAGAAACTTTTTTTTTTCCAAATTATACTTTGTTTAAATTTGTTGGGAATGAACCAGCTGGTATCAGACTCTCCAAGACTTGATCTAGGATGACAAAGTCAATCTGAACAGAGTTTTCATTCACATGTCTTTGCCTGTTGTGACCACCTGCAGGGTCCCTTTTAGTGTTACACCCCTATAATCCAAGTACTAGGGAGGCTGAGGCAAGAAGTTTGTGAGTTCACATGTATAGTAAAACTTTGTCTCAGAGCTGGAGAAACAGCTCAGTGGTTAATAGCACTTGTTCTTGCAGATAACTCAGGTTCAATTCTCAGCACCTACATAGTGGTTTATAATCATCCATAGAGCTCCAGGGGATCCAATGTCCTCTTGGAGCCCTTGAGCACCAAGCATGTGGTACACATAATGCAGACAACACATATAAGATGAATAAATCTAAAAACAAAAGCTTGTCTAACCATCCTTGCCCACAAAAAGAGGAGAAATTGCAAAAAAAATAAAGTTTCAGACAAGATATCAAACTACATCTTAAGTACTTTGCTTACATATCAAAACAAAAACTAAAATGACTCATTGGATGAAGGTGCATGCTGCCAAACCCAACAATTTGATTTCATTCCCTGCATCCATGATGGTAGAAGACGAAAAGAGACTGTTAAAGCTGACCTCCACATGCTCACAGAAGTTTATACA